GGCCTCGGCATCATGAAGGACATTGCCAAGAAAGCAGTTCTTCGCAACAAGGAGTACACCACGCTCTACGAGAGGCTGATCAATGACCCCTTTTACGCCTACACTGCCGCGCGGGGAGACCTGACGCCGTCCGCCCTCGAGTTCATCGAGAAAGTGGCACGATGCATCATTCCGAGTTTCGTGAGAACCAAGGAAATGATCCAAGGAAGCGTGGCTGTGCCGAAATATCACGCACGGCTAACGCTGGTGCCGCCTACGGAGGACGTGCAGGAGGTCGACCCGAAGGACGTCTACGTTGTGCATGGCGGCAGATTTCTGGAACCAGAACAATTTGCTGCACTTTACGGAAGCCTTGACAAGAGCAACCGCTACACCGTGATGGGCTGGACCCGGGATTTCTCGTCTGTGGGAGACCCCGAAATGGTATTGGTGGAGTTGCTCTGCTTCGTCGAAGAGGAGATCCCCAACATCGAGATCCCTGGACGGGCCACCCCGCTCCCTGCACTTTTCGGTGTGACGCGCAAGCCCATTCCGCAGCTCCGGGAGACCGGTGGCCAATGGCAGGATCGTCAATGGAGCCAGTCGTACTGGGGAAGTTGGGGCCAATCCTGGGACTCGTGGTGGTCTGATGATCAGCGCCCGTGGAAGAGCTCCCGCAATTGGGATTGGCGATGAATGAGCGATCTCTTCAACAATCTTTTCTATCTTCGGCTGACATCCATTTACATTTCAAATTCAATATTCACTATACTTCTCAATCATGTTGGCCGAGGATCAATGTACAGTGCATGAGCACGCCTCGCGAGAGCGACGGTCAGTGGAGGCGGAAGACCTTAGCTGCCGATCGCTCGAATCCAAGTGCTTGTGTGCTGCAAAATGACATCATGCCTATCGGGTTTCTTTGGTTGTCTCATCCCTTTCATTTGTCCTCCTGTTTCACATTCGGGCACGGGGGGTGTAGTTTGCAACGTGATGTATTTATCAACCATGTAAAACCCCAATGCATGAATGTCTCACTTGTGCAGTCTCATCATTACGACTGCATATGGCTCAAGGAAAAAGCGCGCTGAGTACAGGGTTCAATTGTGACCCTTCCCGGTTGTTTAACCTGTTCTATAAACCCAGATGGGGTCTCTTTACATGGGCTTCATTTTATGAAAGGAGCACCCAGAGTCATGGTTCCGAGGCCATATGGGCCCACATGGATCCTTCAAGCTTTATTTGGGCCCTTTCTCTGCAAGAATGTTAGCTGTGGGTTTGGGCACAACTCTTGCAACATTGTCTTCCCCGAACATGGGCTGCGGTTTCCACCTAGTCAACTAGTCAACCAGATCTTGACCCTGGTCCAAAGTTGGTCCATGAGGTTTCGCAGGGCGATGGCTCTGTGTTTTTGGACCTTGTCAGGTTGCTTGAAAGGGCAACATGACAACTGCCATTTGTTGGACTGCACTATATTGACAATATACCAATGCCACCATCCCATCCGCTTGTTCACGATTCCCCCACTTTTTTTCATTTGTACTTGTTTTGAAGGCAGACCAAGAGAGCCAACCGTCCTTTGTCATGGTTGTTGTTGGGAAACATTTCACATTTTTTGCTTATTGTGTCCTGAAAATGTTTGCTCCCCTTCCAACGTCAACCAAGTTGTGTCGCGCCATGACACGTTTTGCACCGAATGGTCGGACATCGAGGCGCCTTTGGGAGTCGAGCTCAGCATGCCCCACGCCTCTACGCTGAGCCCGTAACGGATAGTCAAGTGAGGCTCTGGGATGCCCCCTGGCCCGAGCTGTTGATATGGGTGATTCGTTTTTTTTTGAGGGTACTTATTCGTGTGGTTCAAAGGGAAGCCAAGGAACCCGCAGGTTTTGGAGTCCCCCAAAAACGACACCCAGATTTGTTTGTTCACGCCCAAGGCGAATCCAGCGAAACGGACTTCTTTGTTCTAATGCCCTGTAACAGTTGAAGGCCAAACGAGCAAGCAACACGCGCCCCGTTTATTTAATGTGAGTGGGGTCCATTTTCCAGAGAGCGGAATTCAGTGCACGAGCTGGTGCCTGCTGGCGTCGAATGTCTTCAACTTGCTTTGCGAGGCGGTTGAACTGTCATTGCAAGAAGCTATGGTGGTTACAGTGACTTTATTCCCGCGTTGCCTGTTAACAGTATGCAAAAGCACAGGGAAATAAAATGCTCCGACCCATGCAACGAGTAAGACAAGTTTGGTTCAATTATCCTTCGCCCAATGTTGATCAGCACTTGTTTGTTTACCGATTCAAGTCCGGCACGGGGCCCATCTGGTTTAATTGGACCTATACCTAATGAGCGAGTTAGTCAAATAGCCAGTCAGTTGGTTGGCTAGTAGGGTTTTCTTTGTTTGCTTGCTTACGTGTTGATTGGTTTGTTGGTTTGCTTGTTTGTTTGATTTGATGCTTGCTTGTTTGCCTTGCTTGTTTGTTTTCGATATGTATTTGTTTGTTTATTTGCTTGCTTGCTTGCTTGCTTGCTTGCTTGCTTTTGTGTTGGTTGGTTGGTTGGCTGGCTGGCTGGCTGGCTGGCTGGCTGGCTGGCTGGCTGGCTGGCTGGCTGGCTGGCTGGCTGGCTGGCTGGTTGGTTGGTTGGTTGGTTGGTTGGTTGGTTGGTTGGTTGGCGGGTTGGCGGGTTGGCGGATTGGTCGGTGAGTCGGTCCGTCGGTCCGTCGGTCCGCTGGTCCGCTGGTCCGTTGGTTGGTTTGTTGATTGGTTGGTTGGTTGGTTGGTTGGTTGGTTGGTTGGTTGGATGGCTGTTTTTGTTTATTGGCTTGGTTTGTTTGCTTGCATGTGTGTTCGTTTGTTTGACTGATTGTGTGATTGATTTTGATTGATTGAATGGATTTTTGTGATTGAATCCAATTGAATTATTGGTTGGTTGATTGGTTGGTGCATTGATTGAAGTGTTGTAAAAACATATATGTGTTATTACCTATTTATTGAGTTGATTTGTTAGTTTGATCGTCTCATTCATTCATTACGGTATTCATTGTTTCATATATTGTGTCATTCGTTCATTCATTATGTCATGTTATGTTATGTTATGTTATGCTATGTTATGTTATGTTATGTTATGTTATTCATTCATGCATGCATGCATGCATTCATTCATTCATTCATTCATTCATTCATTCATTCATTCATTCATTCATTCATTCATTCATTCATTCATTCATTCATTCATTCATTCATTCATTCATTCATTCATTCATTTGTTGACCCATGGGCTCATCGTTGATTTTTTGTTTTGTGCCGGAGTGTTTGTTTGTTTGGTTGGTTGTTTGTGTGCTTGCTTGTTTGTTTGTTTGTTTGTTTGTTTGTTTGTTTGTTTGTATGTATGTTTGTTTGTTTGTTTGTTTGCTTGCTTGTTTGTTTGTTTGTTTGTTTGTTTGTTTGTTTGTTTTGTGTTTGTTTGCGGTGATTGCTCTTTCTTTTTGTTGTCTATAGTTCTTGCGTTTGTTTTGTCTGTGTGTATTCCATGTTTACTTTATATTATTATTATTTCCTTATGTTGTTCTTCTGTGAGTTGTTCCGTTCTTTCATGATTTATTGATGTCTTTCTCTCTCTCTCTCTCTTTTCTCTATTTTCTTGTTTTTTTTTTTTTTGTGTGTTCTTGATTGTTTGTTTGCCTGCCTGCTTGCCTGCTCGCCTTTTCGCCTTTTTGCTCGTTTACTTGTTTGCTTGTTTGTTCGCTTGCTTGTTTGCTTGTTTAAGTGACAAGTGTTGAAGCCACCTCTAGGCATCTTTGCTTTGTGAGGTCTGGGACCCAAGCTGCAAGTTTTGGGAAGCTTGCGGCTTTGAGAAAGGACCAAAGCCTCACTCCCTGAGTTCCTGGACTCTAGTCACTTTTTGGGAAGACCAGTTTAGTGGAATAAGAAGTTTAGACTTTCGTTCGCCAATCTACTCAGGAAGTGAGACGCCCTGGGCTCATGGACCTTTTACTTTTTGGGAGGACCGTTTTTAGTCCAACAACCAGAGTTTTACTTTTTGTGCGCCAACCAACTCGGAAAGTGAGTGAAGGCTACCGGCAGTTGTTCGCGCTAAGCTGCGAAGGTAAATGTCGTATCATCGCGTGAGTAACGACCGTAAGCAGCGTCGGCTGACCTACAAAGACCTTGGGTAGAGCGAGGTTAAAAGGAGCGCCATTGGTCGTGGCGATTTTTGGGGAACCTCTTTGCTGGGTGGGCTTGAAGGGAAACCAAAAGGGACACCAACTAGGGTTCCCTGATTTTGAGACAGCCATTTAGCACATGGCTTGCCCCAACTGAGGAGGTCCGACCCATTTCCGGGCTAATCCTCCTCGTGTGTTGAGTGAAGTAGTACAGTACCTATTTCGGTATGCTACGAACGACAAAGGCCGAAGTTTCAGGGCCGCGGCGGGCGTAGCATGATGTGGCCTGTCTTCGCGCTGAGAGACGGTTGAGATCAGCTGTGATTCTCGCGGCTACTTGACCAAGCTTTCATAGCCAGGATTCTATTAACCAACAACTAAAAAATGAACACAAACAAAAAAACACCATCAACAGCACCACTGGTTGCCTCATAGTTATGACTTAGCCTTTCGAGTGTCGTTGCATTTTGCTGCTTCTTGTGCCACATGCTTAGCTGTCCAGCCTGTCTTAACTTTTGGAGTTCAATTCCTAAGAACCCACACCAAGAGTATTTTTCCCCCTGGCCGCATCAGAGGCTAATATCTCGAGGACCCCGACTGAGGCGTAGATGAGGAGGAAGCAGCCCTGTAGGTTTTCGCACGGGGCTTGGTCCCGGGGCCTCTTGAATTGCTGAAGATATGAAGCTCTGGAAGCCCTATGAACCCATAGTCCGTGAGTTGATTGGCCATCAACTAGTATCAAACGACAAGCGCCCAGCATAAAAGCTGTAGGTCCACACATTCGTCATTTGGAGAAATCTTTGGGTCCAATAAATTGACATCCTCAAAACAGCCGTCTAGCCCCAAAGTAATGTTGAACCCCGTGTTGACTTTGAGACTCTCCGACTTTTAATGTTTTGCCATGTCGCGCGCCCGATGTGGTCCTTGCTGTGGACTTGGCTGCTGGCGACTTGGCTGCTTTCTGACACCTGGTTTGGGTGAGCAAGTTTGTTTCATCCATACCCCTGCTTAGTAGGAGAGTGTTGAAACATGGCTGAAATACACGGCTGGCCCCTAACTGCAAACTTCACATTTTGGACCTTTGCATGTTTCAATTTCCAGGTTTTTCAGGAAAGTGAGTCACTAGGGAACCTGCCCCTCGCCCCCCAAAAGAAAAAGCTAGACAAGGACGCTGACACATGTTCAATTGGACACCCCTCCCCTGAAAATAGACACATGTTCAATAGGGCACCCTCAAACAATCTCCAAAGTGACACATCTTCAGCAGGGACCCCATCTTCAATAGGAAACCCTCCCTCTCAAATGATGCATGCTCAATAGGGAGTTCGTAAGCATGACGCACATCCCGGGCCTGTTCTTTTTCAACTACCTGGTTGACACAATGTACGGCTTGCTCCCCAAGAGGATAGGCTTCCTCTGGGAGGTGTGCCAACATCTTATTTGGCAGAGAGGAGACAGCAAAGGAATCCTTGGCTGGGCTTTCTGTCGACCCCCACTCGTGTTGCCTTTGCTGTTTCTTCGGTGACTGTCCTTTCAGCAGGTAGCCTCGTGTTTGGTTAGGCTGCGCCCCTTGACGTAACGCAGCCTGTTTACCCATGGTCAACTCCATGTCAAGAGGCATTGGAGCACATCCACCGAGGCTTTGGGCCCCAAGGCTTGCTGACATGCTGTTCCTTTTGCCGCCCACTTTTCCTGGGCTTCTGAAAGTGCCATTTGGGAGGGGTTGTCAAAATTGCTTTTGGGAGTGGTGTTCCTTTGAACTGCCATTGGGTAAGTTTGAAGACGTCATTTTGGACGCTTTCCAGGCACTTCACTTAGGACGCAAGTCGGTTCAAGAAGAACATCCACAAGTTATGAGGGATGAGCCAAGCCCTGGGCCAATTGGAAGATTGGACTTGGTTGAAGGCGTTCCCTTGAGAAGGGCCAAAAGTGCGCGCTCTTCTTTCCAATGGCCACTGGGGGTCTGGGTGTTGGCTTTCCCAAACGAAAACATGGGCGGCGTCTATTTTGAGCAAAGCCTTTCAGCGCATGCCCCGCTCTCGTCTTTGTTCTGTTGGGTTCCAAGTGTCAAAAGCAGCTTTTTTTCTCAATCGGGGATTATGCATGTTGGTTCTCGACTGAGTTCGATTCCGGACATTCCAGGTGGCCACTGATTTATCAAGGGGCTTGCGACAAACCAGGAAAACACTTGCAGAGGATGTCCTGCGTGTCAGCTCAGCAGACAACACACCAGACTGGCAAATCTGTCCCGTCAAGGCCACTTTCGTGGATCGGTCATTCGCACTCGCCATCCTGAAACCTCGAATTTCTTTGTTTGGACGTTCCCAAGTGCGATTGCCATTGCAATCTTTCGGAAAGGATCCTTTCTGTTTCACATGTTTGCCACGATTCGCTTTCCATTCGCAGCCCAGAAACCTCGCAGGTTGAAGCCTCCAATCAGTTTCGATTTTTTGGTCGGGCGGCTTCCGTCTCGTTCGTTCGCCTCCGGACCTCCGGAGGCGAAGGCGGGCGCTGTCAGGCGCCCGCAGATGCGATGGGCACAGAGCAACGCCACGCTCTTCCTGGAGCTGAAGCCGGCGAGGGGATCGCCGCACGGAAAAAGTCAGCTTTCCGGCCGGCCCCCGGCCCGGAAATCCGGAGGTGTCTTTTTTTTGTTTGTGTGTGTTTTTTTGTGAGGTCTTGAATTGGGAACGCCCGAAAAGGTGCCGTTGAACTAGTTGCTGGGGCCTGGAAGCATAATTCTGAAAAGCCTGAATCATACCCCTGAAAAGGGGGAAGGGAGGGAGGGGTTCCGCGGGCTTGCCTTTGCATCCCAAGCAGAACACTGCTTAAGAGACACCTATAGTGTGTGGGAGAGGCTCCTTCTGTGGGGACCCATTCAATCAAAAAATCACAAACCGAGCTCTCCGATGGGCAGCACAAATTTCAACAGGCATACCCTGACAATCTTCAAAGAAAACTAACAGGGTATATGTAAGCTTATATGGACCTGAACCCTGACTGGATGGCCAAAAAAAGGCAAGGGTAGAAACTTTGTCTGCATTATCAGCATTGCATCACGGAAAGGGCGATGACACCGAAACCACAGTAAACAATTGGGTCTGACCTTTTTAGGGGAACCCCTTGTTTTGTTTTAAAGGGACATCAAAAGGAACACCCAAGCCGTTTTGGAGGGGTCCAACCAAAAAAACAGACACACCCAATTGTTTTGCTCTTTGCCTTTAGCCAAAATTCTACCCTGAGCTGTTTGGAGCGACCCATGTCAAACCAAGAGGCCCCGGCCCAACCATCGCTGAGGACATGTGAGCTCAGTGCGCAGATACGCCTCGACCGGGTGCTAATCAGCGACTGCAGCCTTTGGGACACTCAGCTCAGCGCTCATTGGCCTTGCGTTGTTTGAGACTACCCTTTTCGGGGTGGTTAAAAGTGGAATCAACAGAAAAAAAATAAAATAATAAAACAACTGAAAAAACAACTGCCATATTATGTTGGCTTTGGGGGAGTGTCCGTTGTTTTGACATCCACCCATTCAAGCTTGTTGACGGCTTTCATGCATCATTTTCCGTGAACGAGAATGTCCGCATGTCTTTGCCTTCCTGGGGGTGCTTACAATCCCATCTTTAAAGCTAGTTTCTTTTAGGTGGGCTGTTTTAGTGTGGAAATTACGGGCCCTGTCAGAAAAGTGCGATAAACAACTAACTTGGCTTTTCGCTACTGTACTGGTCGCCTTGTTGCTGTGAACGATCCGTTGGTGATTCACTTTAGGTTGAGTTTCCTGTACATGAACCGATGTGTAAAAGGGATACAAAGTGGTAGCGATTCATTGAAGCTGCCGCTTTTGAACATTTCAGTTCCTTTTGGCAAGGACAACTAGGCATTGCCAGACGTGTCTAGCCTTTGCTTCTTGGAGTTTCCTTCTTTTGCCCCTCCCCCCACCAGCCAAAACTATCTTTTTGCAGGGGCCGTACATTTGGCCAAAGAAAAACAGGGGGGCAACAAAAGAGCGTCTTCGTTGTAGTCCGATGGATTTTGTTGATGTGTTGATTGAACCAGTCCATCCATAGTTGCAAGGCCCATGCAAAACACGTACAGATAGGTCTTCAGAAGGCAGAGACGCAGTTTTCCGAGCTGCCAAGCAGAGCTTCGCCAGGGTCCTGTTTTTTTTTTTTTGTCCATCGTTCTGGTACGTTTGCAGTAATTTTTGCTTCAAAGGAGGGGTTCACATCCCACAATTTTGGGTGTACCCGATTTTGTTCGCGTCCGCAAACCCAACATGGAGTCATAGATGGAAATCCATTTTTGTTGATGGGGCACAGGACGTACCCGCTGGCAAGCCACACATGCTGGGTGTGTGGTTGCTGTGGTTCGTGTCCTAAATATTGCCCCGGCTTCTTTCGTGGAAACTCAAACCCCGCAGTTTGCCATATGCCGAGCCTTAAGAAACTGCCTGGCCCAAAAAACTGGCGGGTGTGTTGGTCGTAGATGGGCTGAGTTTTTATCAACTTGTCGGACGCTGACTATTTGGTTGGCCCGTTTAAGCTTTAACTTGGGAACGTGCGCCACCCAAAAGGTGAAGCGTTTTGCAATAGACACCAAGCTCCCATGTTGCTCAGAACAGGGAAGCCTCAGTGGGAAGCCAGGTCTTTCCCCCCAATTTCGCCTCAGGACATCGAGCTCCGGGAGGACGTTGTGGTCCAGGAGTCTCGAGCCTTGGCATAGAAAACAGGTCGCCGCTGAGCCGAAAGGCCCCCCAATCTGGGCGCGACTTCTATTTTGTGATATGGGAGCTGGCGAAAATGGAGCAACCGATTCGGGTGACTCTGGTAGAAGGAGAAGGAACAGTCCTGGCTAACAGGAGAGCAATCTTTGGCTTTGGCAGGGGACGCTGGATTTCCACCACTTTTGGAGGTTCCACAAAAGGGAACCGGAGGAAAACCCTGTTTGATTTCGTCTTGCTACTTCTTTTGGCAAGGTTGATATGAGGGTAGCAAGTTCAGTGGATTCAGGGCTAAACATTTTTCAAACTTGTTGCGGGTTACAGCTTTCCCACTGGTCAACCCCAAAACGAAGTAAGTCCAATAGTTGATTGAAAATCGCCCGGGAACTGGGAAACAAGACTTGTTCCTGCTTGTTTTCAGTGTTAGTTGCGGTTGCGAAGAACAAAAGTCATATATTTGTTCCCAGGTGGATGCTTCTGATGCTTGGATGTGTTTTTTATTCCCACAAAATGTTTGATTTTCCATTTAAGGGCACCCTCGACAAAACGACACCCCTTGTTGGGAAGACTGCGGCCAATGCGCGAAAGTGGAACACAATGGGAGAGCCAAAGCGAGAGACAAACTCAGACCTACTCGCAAGCGAGTTCCTGATGGAACCTTTCCTGGGGCGTGTTCTTCTCAGGGGGGGCTTTGGGGGATGAGGTGTAAAACAATTAGGCTATGTTTTTTGATCTTAATACTGGGCTGTTGTTGTTTTGCATTTTTGACACTAGGCTGTGTTTGTTTTACTAGGGCTGATCCGCCTGGTTGTTTGGTTGGTTGGCCGGCTGGCTGGCTGGCTGGTTGGCTGGTTTGTTGGTTGCTGCTTGGTTGGTGGGTTGGTTGGTTGCCCGCATCCCTCACTGTTAGTTTACAAACTGCTCCCCCAGTTTGTTTTGCAGAAGCAAAGGCAAAAGATCCCTGCTGAGAATCGTGAAGGTACAGTTAAAACAAAGCTGGAGTTTTTGTTTTCACAACTGCGTGAAATTTCGGATTGACTAAACATGAACCGGTGGGTATGGGTCAGAACTAACCACCAGGGGATCGCAGGTTTTAGTCAATGTTTCCATTTACCACAAGACATTTCAGCCATATATATTTTTCGTACCCATATGACTTGTCCATTTACCACATAGCATTTCAGCCATGTGTGATTTGTTTCCTACCCAGATGATTGTGCCACAGGGAACCCCGGCATTTCTCCAACGAAGCTAAGGAGTGGAGCGCTCGGGCAGGGCCACGCTGCTCTCACTGCGGAAGAAGCTGCCACACCGCTGGGACAGGCGCAACGAGCCGAGCCGGCTTGCGGGTTCCAAAGTGAGAATCCTTGCTCAGTCCAAAACCCACCTTGTGACCTTTTGGGCTTTCCCATTTTGGCCAATTTTGGCCCATTTTGGCCCATTTTGGCCCATTTTGGCCCATTTTGGCCCATTTTGGCCAATTTTTCAATCAGGTTAATCTTTTCTTTCCAGGTTCATTTTCAGTCTTGACCCCCAAAAGGTTAATCTTTTCTTTCCAGGTTGCTTTTTTGGTATAAGGGCCAGTCCCAAGCAGAAATAGTTTGGTGCGGCCGTCCATTTGGCATGGTTGTATGAGACCTCGCGGTTGATTCACTAAAACTAGGGCCCTTTTGGATGTGTTTGAAGAGCGGCAAGGGCAGCACGAGAACAGCAACATCAATCCAAAGGCCCAGCCAACTAATTAGCCGAGGAAGTGCCGGCAAGCCAAGTTGTTGGCTCCCAAAAGCGCAAGTTACACAGTAGACCATTCTTAGTGGAAAGCCCTCCAAACCAAAATGGAAACTGGGTTGCAAAGTAAAGGGTTGGAAGAAGGTCAAGCAGTCTGCGAAAGTGAGTTAAGTAACATCCGGCACTAAGGGACAACCAAAATCATGAGGGGGGAACAGGTAACCTCATTTCCTGAGTGGATTGGCCAAACAAAGTCCAAACTTGTTGGTTACCACTAAAATGATCTTTCCAAACAGTTTAGCGTGCAGGAACTCAGGGAGTTTGTAACGGGGAATTGTGCTTGTGGCTATTTCTACCACGCCTTGTGGCTCGCTGCCAACCTTTTGACCGCTGTTTTGTTCAGATGATGTACCTCTTCTCTTCACCAGCAGCTGCTTTTGTGTGAACAAAATCCCAAGTACTGCCCAAAAGCTGTGTTTTGGGGCGGTGCTGGCAGTTGATTCAGTTTGTTTGTCCAAAAGGTCAGCCCTTCAACTCAACAGGTACCTGGGGGAGAGCAAGGAATATCGCGGTGTCACAGAAGAGGCTTTACTTTTGGGTAGTTTTCCGGATTCTCAATTCTTGATTGTGTAGGAAGGTCCGTACAGGGCAGGACGCCTTTTAATCATGGGTGAAAGGCCAATATGGGTCTGTCTTCTTTTGAGGGTTCCCGCTTTTGTGGTTTTAAAGAAACAAAAAGGAAAACAACCACTTTGGGGGGTCCCCGATGTTCAGACACACCCATACATACTTGCCCTAAAAAGAATGGATGATCTTCAATGCAGCCAATGGGCCCAGGTACGGCAATCTCTGTTTGGCCAAATTCCAGCGTCCAGATTGCAACCTACCCCGCCCACATGTTACATATGGGCGCCGTTCGAATACCTTTCACGATTCCCAGTGAATCCCAGTTGACCTTGTAGGAAGCAGCTGTCTGCCTTGTGGTTTAAATCCCTTCATTCCCTAGTATACAGGTGAGTGGAACTGGGATTGGTTTGAAGGCAAACAGCGCCATGGTCATTCATGTGAGCACGGAAGGCCTCAGAAAGCTGGAGGGTGAGCTAAGAGTCCAATTGTGTTTAATATCTTTTTTTGGGACATTCGGAACAACCACTTTCTGGTTTTGATGGTTCAGTTCCTGTAAGTGTCCTCTGACATCAACTTGCTTTTCCACTCACTTTTTGGGTTCCTTCTTTTTAGACTTCTTGGGAAGACCACGTTTAGTGGGTAGCAGATTTGGATTTGTGTTTCCGGCAAGTCACTCGTTCAGAAGTGAGTAATCCAGAGACGGCTTGCTTCACGGGTTCTGCGCCAGGCCCTTCATGGAGGAAGACTCATACACGCTGCCCAGAGAATCCCGGCTTGCTGTGGTTGAAAGTTTGGGGAAGTGTTCGGCGGCTTTGATCATGTGGCATTTGCCTCCAGTGCCTGGTTTTATGGCGAGCTCACCGATCCGCTTAACGAGCTCACCATGGCCCTTGCCAATTTAGGATCCATTCCTTGTCAGGTTTTAGGAAAGTAGTTTGCCAGAGGATGTTTTTGCAGTTTCATGTTCGTAGGGGGATTGGCGACTTGTTTGCTTTTACCCGTACAATAACTTTGTCCTTTTGTGAGACCGCTTCCAACCTGCAGGTAGCTTTAATTTTGCTGGGTGTCAGGTTCCTTTCTGACTCCTTTCAGCCGGAGTGTGCATGCTACGCATGCAGAAAGATAATGCTGAGACCCACCCATAAGTCCTCATGCCACATGGTGGTTTACTGCATCCCCCTTCCGGTGAACATGTCTCGTGCGACTGGTTAGTTCTTGGGCCTTGGCTGACAGGCTGGTTGCTTGGGCTGGCATGCCTTTAAGTTGATGGACTCAAACGCAAGGTTCGGGCAAACAGAAGGTTTTGGAAAAACCGTTTGAGTGGAGCCAATCAAGTTTGGACTTGAATTTGGCACATCGAGGACACTTCCCTTCCCCGCCCCCTCCCCATGTTTTCCGACATCCTCTTACTCGAGTTGAAATCCAGGGCCAAAAGTCAATATCTCCGCGCCCAAAAATCGACTCATTTGTCCCAACAGACCTGAACATCAAAGGCAAGTTTTGCTTTGGGACCTTGACCAAACAGGGGCCAACATGCAAACACCAGCGGCCGATTGGCCGATTTGCTGAGTGCGAAAACTCGAGCATACATGTCCGAGAGCCCTGGAACTCTGGATGCCCTCGGGGCCGAGGACTGGCGGCGTGAAGATCGAGATCTTCCGGAGGAGGACCAACAAGTGCCAGGCTTCAGCCAGCCGACTGCCCGTACAGCAAGTGAAGCTGATTTGGGGGTTGGCCATTTTCGGAGTGGGGCCTACAAACCTTTCCATTTGCTTCGGAATCTGTTCTATTTCCCCATGTTGGTTCTAAAGGGAATCCATTTGATGTTTTCCAGGGGACTTAAGCAAATGGAAGAACCAAGAAGTGAATCGATGCGGGTTTGCGGCTATACTCCGCAGGACGAGATCGAGCTGGTCCGTGCGCAGAACTTACGCCGTTTGGGGGGCCGACAGCTGCGAGAGCTTGCCCGCGACAAGGCCGGGAATCAGTTCCTACGGTGGGGTGTGTGGTTGGGTGGGAGACATCTTCAGACTTTCTGGGAAGACCCAACTCAAAGTGTGAGAACAAGTTTCTTCTCTGAAAAAAGACACCTAAGCTCGGAGCGTTTTCCGATTCGGAATGAGAGCCCAGATATCCAACGTTTTCAAAACTGACCTGGGATTTCAGGGTTCAGCTAACTGCCCGTGGAGCAGCAATTTGAAAGGGAGACACCTTGAGGCTGCTGTAATTAAGGAAATCTCAACGAACCCCTTTTTTCCCAGCCCAAAAGCTCGCCAAACAGGAGGTAATCATGGTGAAGGCGGTCCTCTCGGTTTTAGGGGTAATCTACCCTTACGATCAGGTTGTAACGACCCTTGGAACCGCACACCCAACCCGCAGGGCTTAACTCGTTCTGCGCAAGAAACGGACAGTGCGTACTGGCAAGCTACGGATAGCAGGGCACGGGCGTTTTCCCGGTTTCCCTTAGTGACCTAGAAAAATACGGCTGGGACTTGTACCCTCAAGAATCTGCACGTGTAGGGATCTGAGAAAGGCTAGCGCCCTGCCAACTTGTGTATCAAGGTACGGCGGAAGCTTTAAACATTGGAAGGAGGGGGGGTTGCTCTTCGCCAATCTCCCCTTCCCTAATTTGCTGTTCTGTCTATTCTGGGCATTTAGTCTAATATACAATCATGCCAAAACATGCGGACATATTTGACATGGTGAACCAAGTGCAGGGCATAGAATTCCTTGCTTGGTCCTTGATTGATTGCTTTCTCGGGAGAGGGGTCCATCATCAATGGTCAAGCTACCCAAAACCCACGAATTTGGCTTGCGTTGCTTGCCAGGCTTGCGGGAGCCGCCGCCTGCATGTTTGTGTTGAATGTTTGCGTGTTGTTTTGTATGGATTGGACTGCGAATACTGTGCTTTGTTGCTTGGAGTGTGTTTTGCATTGGTTGGATAGTTTTTGGAAACATTCTGCATTTGTTTGTATATTTTTGTATAGTGTTGACAGGTTTTGTAATTGTGAAGCTAGAAGTCTTGTTTGCTGAGAATGCGTCGCAGTATTTGCCACTTTGCTGGCAACCCACTCACTTCGTAGTGGCGCCTACGGCAGCTTTCATACACTCAACCAAGCACATTTTAGGGAAACTGCAGATGAATGTCTACGGGATGCAGGTGGAGCTGCCAACATGGTTGCAGGGGCAGGGCTTGTTCAGGAAGCATAGGGTTGGGCTACGAGTGGCTGCCTGTGATTGACAGGTCCGGTACTTGATTGAATGTTCTTGCGCTTGCCGAATGCTTCTGAATCTTATGGAAGTTCTGTGGATGGACGAAATCCTGAACCATGGGAAATCAATGTTTGTTGGCAATTTCCGGGGAATCATCATTCCAGGGTTTTCTATCTGGTGCAGGAATTCGTCCATCCACAGTATGACACTGTGTGTGATCAGATTTTCTTGTATGAGGGCTTGTGAAGGATGGGTCCCTGAAACTTGAAGCGTGCTTGTGTTTTAGTTGCAATGTTTAGGGTATCCGCACCCCTCTACCCATGGTTGAAGCCACAAGAAGGCCCCTCGTGGGTCAGCGGAGGCCTTCAGTTCACCAAGGACACCCGTCCTGAAACATGGATGTATGTGCTAGCCTTGACCTGCCACTACATCTCCAGTCGTGCCATCTTCTTTGAGGAGCAAGAGCTATCACCGTAGCAACTGCCAAAAGGTTGCTTTTGTTGCTCACAGACTGGAGGTCTGCTCTCCACACATGTCAGGTGCTGGTGCTCGCACTGCGCTACCCCTGGTGCAGCGCGTGCGAGGACTGCAATGACTGCCCGGTTTGTTGCCTTCACGCAGGGCTCCCTGTGTCTTTTTCGTTTGGGTCGGGTGTGAAGTTGCCCCAATCGAAGCTTGTTTTCCTAAAAAGCGGTTTGGTTGGTTGTCGTTTTCCCATTTTGGTCAGGACCCACATTTTTTTGTTTGACGCAGCACCTTTTGGGCCAATTTCAAGTGAGCTTGCTCTTGCTGGGTTGATGTTTCTAAGTTGGCTTCCTGTGACAGCATTAGATGTTGGTGGGCAAATAAACATGGAACCCAGCAGGGGCGTCCATTTCCCAAAACGAATCCTCTAGGGTGCCTTTGAAAGTTCCATGTGAATCGGCGACCTCAGAAGGTTCCTTGAAAGGGTTCCCGCAGGGGTATCACTCGTTCGCAGTGCGCGATTTTTTGTTTCGCAAGGGAACCGGAGGATTGGGCATTCCCTTTGCCGTTTCGTCCTGGTGGCACCCGCGTTTGGTTTTGCTGGACTTCACCGGCTGCAGACGCTTCCCCCTAGCAAACAACTTGCGGACCCTTGCAAGGGACCCTTGTGAAAGCCTGCTTACCCCTGGGCGGTTGCCGGTTCCCAGCCTTCGAGTATTTTTTTTGCCTTTTTGGGCGGGCTTCCATGTAGCCCACTCAAAGTTAAACTTTTAGCAGGGTCTGGGGATGGGAGGCTCATTGAGGCACAAGCAAATCCCCAGGACATACCCTTCAGACCCGTTGATCTTTGTTTGTTGGCCAAGGCAGTCCTCCATCCTGGGAAAGTGCTTTTTGAGGGATTGAGGATTCGGACTGGCCAAAACTCCATTCGAACAGCCGACAGCCATTGTTATATTCCTGGGGGTTGTCGCAATAGGGGGGTGTCTTCTTTTGAGTTGTCTTTTTTGTTTTTGTGTTGTTGTTTGAACACCCGTATCAATAGAACGTACCCTGAGAGGACCGTTTTGGATGTCCTTCACATCCCCAGTGTTGAGCTGATCCCAGAACCTTGAGAAGCGAAACGGGTGCCCATTGTCCAACTGACGAACGGTTCTGCTACTTGATTTATGTATTGTTTCCAGCACGGCCTACGTAAAAACAAACAAACCTTTATAGGTACCATCTTGCAGGCCAAGTTGTTTGGTTGAAACCTTTTTGGGTGTCTATAGGTTTGGGTTGAAACCTTATAGGCACCATCGTTTTGGAGTACCTTGGCAAAGCCAACAGACGCCACCAACTCGGTTCTGTTTACCCCCCCCCCCCCGGTGGACTTTTTTCACTCGCGATCAGGAGAAGGACCAAGCTTTTGTGAAGCTGAGCCGCTGGATCTAAAGCGAACTGCGGTTTCGGTGTCGGGTTGTCGGGTGTGGTTCGACTGACCTTGCTGCGGTATGTAGGGAAGGTGACTTCTCTTTCCCTTCGGTGGTTTCTGGCTGATGGTCAAATATAAAAAGTTTTTTTTGGTCGGATTTACTTTTAATGCCAGGATCGCCTTTCGGTTGCAACGGGGGGATTCGGGGGGATTCGTGGGATCGTTCTTGACAGGATACATCTTAAAACATTTGAAGATATATGTGTTCTGGTGGGCTCTGACCAGAGGGCCTCACTGGTTACAATGAGATCTGGGAAGTCCCACCGCAGCCACGCAACACGCGTGCAAGCCGGAACGGAAATCAGCTTCCTCAATTTTTTCCGGCCTTGGAGTCCGGTGGTTGACTCAAACCGGGCTCCGCCAGATGGTTTCCCGAGGTTCGGGCGGGCTTCCCTTCGAACTCCCGCGGTTTTCGGCCCGATCCGCTACTCCGAGGCAAGGTGGCGGGCGGCAAGCCCGCCTTCGCCGAGGCAGAGGGGAAGTGTTTGAGGGAGCCGAAGGGGCGGCTCCGGTTTTCACCGGCGGTGGTGACAAGGGTACCCCAACCCACGGCGCAGAATATGTGAGAATGGGGGTCCCAACCCACCAGGCACCACCAGTCACCAAGCAAAGGTTTTCTGGAGCGGAATGTTCGACGCATGGAGCCCGAAGCAGGTCTGAATCACGGGGTCAGTGCTTGCAGCACGAGGTTGGGTAGTTGTGTGTGTTGTTTTCAATATGGTTTCACGTGGTTTTCCGTGAGGTTTGCTTTCACAGGCAAACATTTGCGAGCCTTTGCAAGGGGCTCCTTTTCTCGTGCCAATGGATAAATAAACCCCCCTCCCTCCTCCGCCCCCACAGATGGTCAAACCTCAAGGCGGGTTCCGGGGGAAAAGGTGTGCCGAAGACCGTATTCTTGCCGCAGTCTTCCTAGTCTTCCCATGATCTTCCTGTGAAGTTCCTGCAGTGTTCCAACAGTCTTCCTGTAGTCTTCCTCCAGTTCCAGCCCAGTTATGCAAAACATGTTCTGCCGCACACACCGCATTAGGGGTGGTCTCGGAGGCCGCCCCTGCGCCTCTTGGATACCGAAAGTGATCCTTAGCAATTGGTGGAAATATCATTATTCATTTGCTGTTTACATGTGCTACCATGAATGCCCCAAGTGGACATACCGCAAACAAACCAGTGACAATGAATGGGTAACACAGGGGTTGCACAGGAACCATTCTGGGCTTATAAGTGGGGTATGCTCATTTCGGGTAAGGACAGATCGAATCCTTCAGTCAGGATGACAGCGCTTGGGTTTGCCGTGCCATCCACATGGGGGCTGCTGGGCGCGCCATCGGTCGGCATCCAGGTCCAGTTTGGATCCGTGGACCTTCGGGAGGAGAAAGAGTTAGCCAGACAGGTGTGGGCGGATGGCTTGCAGAGCCCTGGATTGAGACGCAATGCGGAAACCCCGAGCCGCTCAAAGTGGCACATGTAAGCTGGCTGGCAGGAAACGATGGTCTGGTTTTCTGGAATAGCTACGGTCTAAAGCTACGCAGCTTGGCTTCCTTGGGTTCAGGGAGCATTTGTTTACCCATCCAGGGTGCTTGGGAACCTTTGTGGCAAAAGGTCCAAAAACCACAGAACTTGGCCATCGCAAAGACTCTGACCGCCGGAAGGTACCTTGGTCCATGTTGGTTTGCAATATGTTTGTCAGCTTCCATGTTGGAGGGCAAGGGAGACCAGGCGTTTTTTCCCCCATCCATGGATAGTTGGAGAGCCGCTCAGGCGCCTTGTCCCCATTTCTTTTTAGTAGGCCTTGGTAAGAACAAACTAGCTCTGGCAAGGCGAGCTCACCCATGAAGGGCACTCACCTGAAGGAGTTCGACTTCGTTTGATCGTGAGTTGGACTGTTTTGCCCAGATGTGCACCGACACAGGGACCTGCCAATTTGTCCTTGATGGGGTAACGGCTGCTCTGAGAGTTTTTTTTGTTTTTCTCGAAAAGGATTAGCCACGCTCATAGTGTTAATCCATGTGCATTAAGTTTGCCTCACAGAGGTTGTGCTGAATGTGTGCAATCCATAGTTGATTTTCGCATTTGGCCCTCTCACAAACAAACAGGAAAGTGAAGAGACGCCTTTGGAACTTTACTTGTACTTTGGAAAATGTGTGAGGGAGGGTAGAAGTACGCACGCCTTCCTGTCACCTCAACCGGCATTCTTAGTAGTTGCACTTGGTCGCTACATTGTCCGGTAGTTTGTCATTCATCATATGTTTCACGGCTTACTGGTGGGAAACCGGCTAGGGTTCCGCTGAATCTGAATTGCCAACCAACAGGACTTGCTTCTTGAAACTGATGTTCAAAAGCAAGAGTCGAGGCATCAAAGGAAGACAACATGTTAGACAAGGATTCTCGCTTTGGGCTCAGCGCCCGCCATTTCTTCTGGTTTTGTTCGCCCGCCACTAGAATTGTGGCGGAATTCGACCGATCTGGTGATATACAGCTTCCTTGAGGTCCTTGGCAACAGCAAATGGGACCCGCCCCGTTTCCCGCGCACCAAGGAACTGCAGCAAGAGCTGCCCATTGCACGTCTTCAAGCCTGATGAGCCCTTTGAAGAGCCCTACAAGCTACAGGCGCGCGGTAACCAACGTTGCTTGCATTGGTGTAATATGAGCAACGAACAAGCTACTTTTACGCCCCTCACATTATACCAATGCAAGCATTGGTGTAATGATATTTTCATAATTATCGTGTTAAACACCTCACACACCAATTCCAATGGTTTAGGCCGTTTCTGAACGACCGGACCATGGCCCGAACAGCTATGGCTTAAATCATGTTGTAGTTGGTGGTTGGAAAAGGGTTCACACCTGTGTGTTGTTTGCGTTTGAGGGGTTCCGTATTTGCGGGTATTGTTTGGCTGTGCTGTTGTGTGGTTGTGTGGGTGCTCGGTTGTTTGTGCTTGGTTGTGTGGTTGCGGGCTGTGTTGTAATGTATGCGTGCGTGTTGTGTGTGTGTGCACGTTGCCAAGGCACTTTCATGTTTTACTCGCTGAGTCAAGGACGGAAGCTACGTGCTTTGGACTTGTCGAACACTTGGTACCTAGGCAAGACATGGAGCGCATGGCCCACAGTCTCGCAGTCATTGCCGGCGGAAGGACCATGCCCGAAATGATCACCCCCCACCCATGTAAGGACTACATTTGGGGTTTGCCCCCAAGATGCCCTGTCCGCCGACATCTGACTTGGGGGGTAGTAGGTTCTTTTTGTGTTGAATGAAACGTCCATTTGCGATATGCGAGCGGGGTTCGTAGAGAAAGGAGCCCTGAGATAGGCCCCAGGGTCTTGTTTGTGCAAGGTGTCATTCAGAACAAGTAGAAACTTTACAAGGCAATGTTCAGGTGTAAAATGCATCCGGCTCCCTTCTTGGTGTGGGGCGAGGAAGGCGAGCAACTGCACCGTTGCCCGAAGATACCATGCGCAGTCAGCATCCTGTGTTGTGTACCCACTGACCGCAGGGGCACGGAAACCGTGAGGCGCATAGATTTTGATGGGAGCAACAAGAAAGAGGATTTCTGGCAGTCTGAGGAATGTCCTTGTGACGTCTGGTTTTGAGCTTGGAATGATGCCAGGTGCACCTGCTCTACGAGATGGACGAAGCTTGGCTGTTCCCTTCTTCCCTCGAGCTCTCGGGGCAGCCACGATTCAGTTGTCCACGAGTTCCGACAGGTATGTGTTCAATTTGTCTTATGTGTCCTATTTAGCATTCAGGCTGGAAGGTCATGGCGTGACCTGGTCGTGGTTTCGGATCAATAGTCACTATTGGTCGCGACCTGTCACTGCAATGCCTCCCATTTTTGTCTGTTGATTTTCCTAAGTTTGTTCACCAGCTGACTAGCCAGGCGCATATTCCTACGAGGTAAGCATTTGCGTTCGTGGGACCCTTGAGTGAGTGGGGGGGGGGGCACCATTTTGATGGTTTAGTTTAGACCTTGTTTGGGTATGGTCCTCTGAAAACTTGGTCGCAAACGTTACCCTAGGCAAATATCGGGGTGAGTCCATGTTGCCGAGGAACCTGACAGGGCCTTATGGACGACTAGTTTAAGGAGATTGGATGGTAGAGCCATAGGAAACCAAGCCCCGGAAGTAAAGAGGATCGTTGCAGGTGAGGATCGCTGCAGCGGCCGGTGGTGTGAGATGGGGTCTGGACAACAAGCAACATAGGAATCTCCTTTTGCAGGCCTTCAAGGACACTTGCCTTTTTGAAAGGAATAAGTGGTGACCTTAAAGCAACTTTCGGGGTGAGGAACCCCTTCCATGTGCTTCTGGTTGCGCAAAGGTGTCCAGTTGGGATAACGTGGGGATAACCCGCAAAAACCAGAGCTTGTTTCTTTTGTTTCGCGACTTTGGCGCCACAGAATTGGGTGCATGGCTGGTGAAAGAGTTCTGATACTGATACTTTGAGAACTTACAAAACCAGAACTGTGTTTGTATGGGAGGAGGAGGGCTTGATTTGCGGGGATTTCACTGATAAAAGTCCGCACGAAACACAGCATGATGCAAATCAGCCGCAAGCAAATTCCTTTGGTCGCTTCTGTTGTTGCTCATGAGCTGTTGGGTTGGGTATTGTGTTTTTTTAGCTAGGCTGTGGGGTAAACAGGCAGATTGGAGATTCGCGTCGTGACGCGGACCGGTCGCACCCAAGCCTTGGTTCCCCCTTGTCACTTTCCGGGAACATGTCAGAGCACAGGTAATGGATCAGAAAATCGTCAGATAGACGGTCCCATTCACGGACCAAAGATAGGATAGGTCCCGGGGGAACCCCTGTCCCATTGGGGAGATGAAGAGCTGCCAAAAGTCGAAAAAGACAATCCCCCCAGCGAAAATAAGTAGCCTTTTACAACTGAAAGAGCCTCATACGTGGGGTACCTGCCTTCAGCACACTGCTCGCACAACCACTCCCGAGCTTGGCATCTGACATCATTTGACCCTTTGCCAGTTGCAGGCCCTTTGCAAACGCTGTCTCCAGGGCCCTGACGATGTTGCTGGACCCATTCTGCTCAAAATGGTGGACCCCCAAGACTCATGACGTTTTTCCTCTGATTCCCCTCGAAAAGACCCCAAAAACGGATGCCTCATGCCGCGCCCTTTTTTGGGCCTAAGTTGCTTCCATCGAAGGAGGCGGCGATGATGGGGGATCCCATGGCTGGCATGCCGGGCCACGCTCCGTGACTGGACGCAAAAGGAGGAGTCGGATGTTTGCTCCAGGCAAGTGATGAACTCTCGGACTCTCCGAGCTTATGGACTTCAATGTGCGACGACAAATTGTGGTAAATCAAAAGTTCAGACTTTTTGCCCAGTCCGCTCAGGAAGTGAACAATGAAAACTAGGACAAGCCACCTGCCAACTGGTTCTGGAATTTGTTCATCCACACCAAAAAATGTTCCCTTTCTCCATTGGACTTCCCGCGGCCTTCCAAAGCGTATCTTCCCACAAGCATCCAACACTTTGTTGGACAAATAGGGGCCCCAACTTTCCTGGGCATCTTCCCAAGCGTTTGGACAGTTGTGGGAAAATGGGTTTCTGGGTCGCCAGTTTCGTCCAATGGTATGAGTTTTCCCACCCCCTAAAAACTAACATGTTTGACGGTGTCATGTTGTGTCAGAAACAGGTGTAATGTAAGGACAAAGCTTGGGACTAGCATTTACCATGGCTGAAGTTGTGTTTATGGTGACCGCCACCTCTTAGACTCCTCCAATTAAGTCCTTAATAAGGCCTTAGTGGGCTCTTATTTTGGGGGCAGATGGGAGTGGCGTTTGGAATTGTATGATACCAGAGAAGCTCAAAGCAAAACCTGCCGAAACAATGGGATCGTGGTATCTAAGCCCATTAAAATCATGCAAGCCCTCCGCCTGTCAACGTTGCCATTTTAACCTGTTTGCCGTTGACCAAGCTGATGGTGGCAGAGCAGTGTTAAACCATTGGTTTGGGGTTGAACGTTGACCAATAATAGACCCGGCACCTATCTCTTCATTCCTTACCTTTCACCCCCTCTCTACATACATCATTTGGTAGAACTTCTGGGAGTGAACGGATGAAGAGAGAGATGGACGAAGGTGTGCCCCTCTTAAGAATCAACGTAATCACCAATGAAAAGGAGAGTGAAAGAGAGAGAGAGACCCAACTACAATACTGCGTGCCAAACACCAAACTCATGATGATAGAACAGCTTTACTTACAACCAATGCAGTTACTAGTGAACAGAAGGGAGAGTCCCATGTTTGACATCCAAGCTTTTGGGTTTCAAGTTAACTTACTTCCTGAGTTCCTGGATTTAAAGCCTTTTGGGAAGACCATTTCAGTGTCAAACAAACAAAGTCTGGACCTTTTTTCTTTTCTTTTTTTCGCCAATCCATTCAGGGTGTCAAACGGCGACAGGAAAAGCATTCCCCCCCCCCAGAACTCCCCCCCCCAGAAACTCCCCTCTGCCACAAACCGGACTCCCCAGAATATTCAAGAGTCCCGGCGTCCAAGAGGCGCCGGTACCAAAAACAAAACCTTCCGGCCGAGGAAGAGCCAAACGGCGAAGCCCGACTTCGACCGCTTCGAGCGAGACTTGGCGCTGCTGCTGCCGCCCGCGGTGACGCAGCTTGGAGAGGACCAGGAGGAGTCGGATGGAAGTGGCGCAGAGAGAAAGGGACCACCCCGGTTGCCATAGGTATCCAGGTGTCCTTTTGATCGGTTAGTTTGGTTAAATAGATGGGCTCCACTGGTTTCGATTCGTCTTGGTTCCATTGGACACCAATGTTTGTTGGGGCGTGCCTGCACTCTCAAACTCGCAAACTACGCTCAAACTTGGGGGGCCTTGAAAGGCGGAATGCATTTGTTTCGGCCAGTTGCATTGCAGTGGCTCGGGCATCGGCCTTCCAACGGAGGGAGCTGGTCGCATTGGCACGTTGGGCTCTCAGCATGTCTTTTGCTGTAGGCAAAATTAACTCCCTCTCTTACTGTTCTCCTCCCGGTAATTGTTGGACATGTCGCGGGAGTGTTGCATGCTTGTTGTAGGCCTGTCATTGCATGTTTGTAAAAGCAGCCACCCTCGAACTGGTGGTTTGGATTGGTGGTTTGGGATTTGCGCCCCTGCTTCTTGTAGAAGGTACATGGGAGGCCCCTCCTTAACCACCAAACCACCAACTAGAGGGAAGCTGATAAATTCATTTCTTAGTGTGACATGTGGCTTTTGCCTCGCAGGAGGACTTCCGCAACACGACTTCGACGGCGGTGATCGGAGGCATGCGTTATGTCGCGGGGTCCCATGACGTGTCGCCGTTGGGAAGGCCTGACACGCGCAGTCCTCGTTAACATCCGAAGTTTCAGGGGTCTGATTCTTGCAATTTACGACAGCCATAAGGCGTGGGGAGCTTTTGGCTCGGCTAAGCTGACATGCACTTGGACCAACATGCAAACTCAGCAGGATCTACAAACAGTCGAAAGGGCTGAAGGCCGTTTCGGGGGGTAGTAAAGGGATCATACTGGTTGGGCCGTGAAGGGAGGACTTGGGAGACTTGTAGGCTTCTGAAGGTTTGAAGTCGATCCACCTGCACATGGGTATTTGTTGCAGGGGAACCCCCAAAAATGTTGTTTTCCGGTTGGTCTCCCTTTGGCCACTACAAAGCCAGAGTGCCCTCGGCAAAGACGCACCCATTCGTTTGTTGGAGTCTTTGATGCAAATGGATCAGCATGAACAAACAAGGCTTTCCGGGTCTTCCCTTGCGAGTCGGCAATAAATCGCAAATATTGACTGCAGTTGTTCAGTGGCGCCCACCCAATTCCTCGTTCCTTGGCTTCTGAAACCCCGTTCAAAATGGACAAGCAACAACAATGGCACCCGCTTTTTCTACCCTTGACTTACAAGGGGGGAAGCAACAGTGTCTTTTTGGCGGTTTTTTGTTTGCACGTTTTGTCAGGCAAACCGTTGGTTTGGATTAGTCGTTGGGGATTTGAGCCCTTGGTTCGCCATCTCAAAACCACACATCAAGGAATCAAGGGGAAGTGGATTTTGTGCTTTTGGGTTCCACCCTCCACTCCCACAGCCGTCAGCTCCCAGGCCGATTCTGTAAAAGGAACCAAGTTTCTTCCAAAGGCTCTTGGGAGCTTCCATGGAATCGCCTGGGGGGTGGTCGGGGCAGTGCTTCGTCAGGCGCTGTGAACCTCACCTCCTTCCGCCTCGCCGCCCGTCGCCTGCGCGGCATCGCCGCCTTCGGCGCCCTGCCGCCGATTCTTTCGGCGGCGGATGCCACGGTGAAGTTGTGGCGCGAGGGCCGTGCGGTGGCGGGGGGCCCCAAAGCTTGAGGTCCAAAATCGACAAAACGGATCTGAAGGGTTGACCGGAAGTGGCCGGGAGCTGACCTGGGTTCAAAGGCAATCCTTATCCTGATCCAACTTGTCCTGTTGCAAAACACTGGAAAAAAGCCTCCTTTTCAGTAGGAATGGACAGTCGGATTGGCCGCTCTGTTTTGAACAGCCCTAACCCATTGAGGAGACGTGACAGGTGTCCAAATTTGGTGCCAGCATGTTTGTTGCGGGCGGGGATCAGTTGAAGCAACCCATGGACTGGTTTCCCATTTGCATGTTCTGCTTGCCCTTCCAAGGAACCTGGAGGTCCCCGGTTTGAACCAGTTTCGAACAACGGGATTCGTATATGTGCCATTTTAATTGGGAGACGTTCTGGGCATACAAGAGAAGAATTCCATGTTTGTGGCAAGCTTCAAAGCTAACTTGCCGCCTGCTTTCTCAGAAGCCTTGGATAAATCCATCGATCTGCCTGTTGGATTTCGGGTCTGTATGCATTCAATTAGACATCCCCTCGCGAACAGTTCCACTATTGGTCCCATTTCGCAAGAGAAAGCTGTTCCATAGTTCCCTTTCCCAGGTCTACGATGGCAACCTCAGCCATAGCAGCTACCTGGAGCACTTTGCGCGTGTTCACGCGCAGCCCCTTCTACAGAACTACTCTTGGGACCTGAAGGCACCGGGGTTTTGCTTGCAAGGCAGCTGCAGCGAAGCTTTGGGGGTTTCACCCGGCAAGCTGAGCTCAAGGTGTTGGACAGCTTCAACCTCGAAGATCACGTATCCCCCCCCCAACCCAAATATTGCTACAAAGCCTGATTCAAAAGTAGGTGCGTGGGAGCAACAATTGTCTCAGGGCGCCGTGTGGGCTTCATGTTAGATAGTCAAAAGTTATTCTCGGCCAGGAAAACGTGGATTTCGGACGTATGTGATGTGTGGTTACTTTGATTCAAGTCGCGTCTCAGTTCTCACTCCCCAAGTTGCCAGGCCCTGCCAGGCCAATTCAGTCGAGCGAGAGCTGTGTTGGTTGCTCGCATGTTCTCATTTTGCCTGGGAGTGTCGCCACCTTCAACATCGCCTGCCACGAAACACAGGGCACCCTGAAAACGATGGCAGATGGCTTCACTGTGTTTGATCTGTTTTGTTGTGTGTTGGTGGGATGGGTGGCTGCGATGAACCATGTTTTGGGCCGCCAGGGTTTGGATGTCAATTTCCATCTCCATGCTGGCTCTCGGACTTTTTGGATCAGTGTTACCCCGCTTGCCCATTAACACACAGGGGGTGCCTTGATGAGGTAACTGATCTTCTAGCCATGGAGGGAGGGCACCATTCACCCAAGATAAATAGCTGGTTTTCACGATGGGGCTTTGGATCTTTGGACCCCACTTTAGTGACAAAAATATAGTTTGGATTTTGGCCCATCTACGTGAAGTGAGGTAGCCGTGTATAACTTGGTGAACATACCTTTGGTGGTTGCCAGCCATCCGGTTCCTTAGCTTTTGAGCTTTTGAGTTGCTTTAGTGGTTGGGTTTCCATTTAACCCGCTAAGAGTTAGTCACTTTTAGCAGGGGATCTGCAAAACGGACAGCCCAGTGTCTTGCCAAGTGCGAATGATATGGCTAATCCTGGTTGGATGTCAGGACCAGGTGGATGCCATCGGAATGCCGATCGGGGTGCTGTGGCTGAACTACTCCAACTACAGCAGCGAGTCAAGCGAAGTGCGGGCGCGGATCATCCGGTCGAGTGATTCCGAGAGTGATTCGGAGAGCCCTGGCAGGGGGAGCCATGGAAAGGTCATGACATGTCATGACCCTGGTCCAGAGCCCTAAAGAGTCACTAAGAGTTGCTGTTGCTAGGCTGCCATGGCTGCCCTTGCAATGGCTCTGAATCCATGTGACATTTCCAGCACTTAATTGAGAGAGTGGAGGTTCCCAGGAAGGAAGTCTTCCTATCAGCTTCCATCATTCTTGGCGGGAGGGTATAGGTTTCTTGGAGAGTATGGCGGGAAGAGGGTAGAGGAATTGTCACTTGCCAGCCGACCGTTAATTTCCTAGGGCCCATGTGCAGTCAACGGTTCACAGGGCTGACTCTTTTGCTTCCAGGTGCTTTGTGGGTTCCCTCTGGCAGAAACCTATACTGCCTCCCAAACAGGGTTGTCCTTTGGATTCGCTTTGCAAGGCTGCACAAATCCCCAGGTTGCTGCCCTGTGAGGGGATTTGTGGCAGGGGCCTTTTACCCTCGGTGGTCAACATCCTGCAGTTGTTAGGTTTATATATTGGAGGTCATCCCAAATCTACCTGCCCTGGTTAATTGTCCTCTGGATGTTTTTTTGTTAGGAGTTGGACCCCAGCATGGTTTCCGGGTTCTTTGGATACCCTGAAGAACCGCAAACAAATGGGTACCCTCACAAAAAGACACACCCATCTGCTAATGTTGGGGATTTGCCGTGAATTCTCCCCACTCTTCTGAGATTCCATGGGCCAGCGATTCCGATGCTCTTTGGGCACTTAGTGATCCCCATGCAGTGGACATAGCGATGTGCCTCCCAGTTTTGCATCACAGACAGGTTCATGTTCCAGAGCCATGGGACAATTTGGGTGACCTTGACCTTTTGCCTGTGTTGGCAGGCAAGCTTGTCTTTAAACAAGGACTCCAAAAAAATGGTTTTCCACTGAATGCTATATGACCCACATCCTGCCTGCTGAGGCAATAGCAGTCAGAAGGCGCTCAGCGCGTTCCGGCAGCTGTGTGCCAAGCGGCGGGGTACAAATTCCACCCGGCACATCCTGTGCTGCGTGATGGATCAGAGCCACTGGTCAGGCAAAACATGTGTGGGTGCCAAGTAACCAGAGGTGCATTTTGCTTGGATGTTAGGACTTTAGCTTTTTGCCAACTAATGGGTTTTCCATTAAACTACTAAAAGTTAAGCTTTTAGCAGGGGAGCAGAAAGCAACCGAGTAACCCTTTTTTGGACCCTCTGGACGCAACGGAAAGGGAAACAAAAGGGGCAGGGACTGGCATTTGGTCCAGACAACCTATTTAGCACTTACAGCAGGCCCCTGGCCCCAGAAGAATTGTATGAACCTATTTTGGTGTGTGTGCGTGTGTGTGTTTCTTGGCTGGGTGGGTGGCTGGGCTGGGGCTAGCTGGGGAACGGGGCCAACAGACCAAAGAAAGGGATGTCCCTTTCATGAACAACGGTTGGCGCGCAAGAACCTGAATGAGATGGGTATGGGTCAAAATTAATTCACCAGGGGGACCGCAGGTTTTAGTCCCTTTTTCCATTTACTATGGGTTCCATTTGGGGTACACATTTTTGACCCACAGCTAGATCTTCTTTATTTGCTTTGGAGTTAGACCTGCACTCTTTCACTGTCGCAACTGGTTCTCGCGGTTCTTCTCGTTTTTTTGGGGGGCGCTCGCTTTGGTTACAAGTTAGACGCAGTTGGTGGTTTGGATTGGTGGCTTAGGGATTTGACCACCTGGTTCTTGAAGCGGGTAGTGGGAAACCAGGCCCCTCCACACCTCCAAACCACCGGTCGGTTTGGAGCCAAACCGCCCCCTTTTGAGGGAAGCTGATTTGAAGCGAACCGTGCTTCTTGTTTCGTGTGCTGGTCATGGTGTGCATTGTGACGTCCTCCCAGATCTTCAGTGGGGTGTTCTCTTTCTTTTTTGGGGAGGGTTCTATTTCGATATCTACCGAGCATGCTTTTTGGTTGTTCGGAATGTGCATGCGATTCGTTTGTTTGGCCATGCGTTACAACGGGAGCCTCTTTGCAGCTGCTGCGAGATGGAAGCCATAGAAGGCAGAATATCCATCCGTCCGTTTTGGTGGTGCCCCCAATCCTCAGCAACATGCGTAAGGTGTGGTTTTGCCCAACCAATTGTGGGCAAGCTGATTTGAATGGGGTTTGTGAGCTCACTCCTGCAGTCGCGTATCAGAAGCTTGCAATGCTGCAATGAATTCCATATATATATATGTGTTGTTCGAGGGTGCCCTGTCACCCTGACTAAACAAGGTAGCCAAATCGGAAAGCTATTTATTGACGCATGCCATATGAAGCCACGTCCATTGTGGCCCTGGCTTGCCATAATTTCCGTAAATCAACCATGGCACAAGCCTAGAGCATGCAAGAGGTTCACACATGGCTGGGTGCTTTTGGTTGCCCCCATATCCCAATCGCAAAGCAAAGGGGGATGAGTAAACTGAGTAAAGTATGTGTAAAAATAAACTTTCCCGACTACTTTCAGTTGCAGCATGTGAGGATCCCGACCATCTCGGGGTTGGGATCCCCTAAGTACGAAGCCGTATACGGAACACCTGGCAGCCATGATCACCTATGAGGATTAGTTGTGCCCACTGCCTTTTGTGGCTCCATACCTGGGGATCACTTTGAATAGTCCTTGAACCCCTACTGCAGCTTCCGCCAGCCAGGCTTTGCCTACTATCAGCGCGACTATGGTAGCCACGAGCCGCTTGGACGAAGTGGTTTGGCTTGGGGCGCGTGGGGTCCTAAGACCGCCGTTCCGCCGGCCTGAGGGAACCCACAGGGAAACCTGGCCGCTTCTTGGCGAGTGCCCCGGTTTTTGGACATCAATATCCCACCAAGAGTGGGGTTGGGCGGCGGGCTGCTGGAACACTGTCTATGTCCTTTCGCAGAGATGCTGAAATTTCGGGGGAACCCAGCTTGCCGTTGTGGTCGTGTTGCCTTTCCTCGCCCTGAAGCCGGTGCGAAGCAAGCCTCGACCTGTGGTTTGTCCAAGGTGGTCGCGACCCCCGCGCTGTAAACCACTTACGCACATTGTGAAGCCACATGATTCAGATATGCACGCTGAGTATTTGAAAATACCACGGCTATTGACTCCTTCAAGCTTGTGTTTGTTTGGTTCCACCCTTGTCTTCTATTTGTGTTGATTCAATCGTTTGTTTTCCCTTTTGGGCCGGAGCTTAGAACAGTTCAGGAGGGGAACGTACCTACCGTCTTTGCTTTGAGCTTCTCATTGACAAAATTCGCCAGCACCAGCAAATGGCCCAGCCCGAAGACCTGACAAACCATTTGATAGCGACGGTGTGCGGGAGTTTCCGTTTTGGGCAAACCATGGCGCGAGCTCACTGAGATGTAAATCGGATGAGTTTCCTTTCTTTTACGTAGCCCTGTTTGAGTTTCCCTTTCTGTCGGGGTTCCTTCCCTCACATGGCACCTGAGTTAGAATAGTGAGTTGAGCTTCCAAATCGGAGTTTAGGGAACGTCCTTTCCAAAGTAAAGAGTTCGAATCCCCCAAAGTCCCACAAATGGCCAACAGGTTGCTCTAGTAGGTGTTTTCGAAAGGACGTCTTTTTGTTGGAATTAAGCTGCTTGGTTGAAAGGGTTTCTGCTTTGGGTACCTTTTCTCCAGAGCACAGGATGCTCCAGAGTACCTACCTTCCCTCCTATTTAGGGAAAGTCCTTCCAAAAGGAGTTTCCTCCCTTGTATTTTTCTAGGGTTGATGCCCCATTATTTTGCAACCATCCTTCTTTTCCAAAACCAGCTGTTCCCCCTAAAATTCCGTTGGTTTTCAAAGATTCGGATCCCTGGGTTTGGAATGGGGAAGCTACCCCTAGAAATATCCCCTGGGGAAATGGAATGGGGAAATGGAATGGGGAAGGGGAAGCTCCCCCTGGGGTTGGAATTCGTTCCAGGCCGTACCCGTTCCCCTTCTTCGGCCTCACCACGAAGCTGGGCTTCGGCGCTGCGGACCGCTTCGGCTTCCCCTTCAACGAGCCGGTGAACGCCTCGGTCTTCGGCTTCTTCAGCAACAGCGGGGGGCCCCGGTTCGGCGTTTTTCGGCAGGTCGGTGACGTCGGTGTCCTTTTTCGTCCATTCGGATCGGAATATGTGTGGGTTCGAGTTAGGGTACATTTTACCTTTTGCCAGCGACTCAAAGGAAGCAAACAATTGAATTTTGCATGCTACAACTGGGCCGAAGTCTAATCATGATGTTCATGTTTCCTGATTGGTTTTAAAGGGAAATCATTCCTACTTGAAGTATCTTCTCATTTTTTCCAGGGGACGTAAGGAAATGGTTTTTGAATGGGGACTCAATTTCAAACCCCCCAAGCTAGGGGACTCAGTACACAGAATATGTATTTGTGTGGCGGGAAACAAGCAATGAAGTGGGAGAATCCTTTGTTCGAGGGTTTCATGTCGGGCTTGTTTTTGGTGGTTTCATAATGTTGGTTTTGGGTATAAAGGGAACCATTTGGTAGTTGTACCCATCTTTTGCGGGTTCTGGCTTTCTTTGTGCTTTCTGTTTTGATACAACTTTCAGTGGTTCTCATTTTTTCTGTTGGGTCTTGGCTAGGGTTGTTGATGCAAGCTTGAGTGTGTCTCATTTTTGCTTGTTGGGTGCTGGTGGTTTTTCTACTTTGACGAACCGGCCTCTGACGTCGCAGGCAAAAGCGCCTTCCGGCGCATGGACAGCTGGGCGGGCCGCGTGCTCCGCGGGCGCGTGGCCCCGAGCCACGAGTCCGGCCTCGGGTCCTCGGCCAAGTGGCGGCGAGGCGAGGTGCAAAACGTGGCGCCTTGGTGTCACCGGCGGCCACGTCCTCGCCAGGGGATTCCTACCTTTTTTAGGGTAGACTATATAAGGAGAGGAGAATCTGAGAGCTGCTTTTTTTTGGGTCAGATAGGAGAAGGAGAATCTGAGAGCGTTTTGATTTGTTGTGTTTGGTGGTACTGTTCGGTGACCGCTTTTGCAAGAGGCTACAGAATGACAAATAGATCCCCCTATCATAATGTTCTATTTCTCGAGGCGCTTCCCACACACGTAGTTGGTCGGGATTTTGAACTTTTGGGAGCATGCCTGTTTTACAGGGGTGCAATCGCCGTCAAGAGAAGCCGACATGGCGTTGGACACTTGACTCTGGAATTCCCATGGTTTGTGTTGTGCATACTCAAGGCAACCCAAAAGGCGATTCACTTCCTTTGCAAACGAGGGGTTGGGTCGAACGTGCATATCAGGCGAGTGGTTTGAAGCCGCCAAGTAACCCCTTGGTGATGGAGACGGCCCGGTCCACATCCATGAACGTGAGCTTTGGACAAATCTGGAGGACCCTAATAGTCAGGATCCTACTAGTCAGAGGAATCCCTTAAGATATATCAGGTACCTGCTAGTTCACACTTAGGGGTGCCCTTTGCATTTCCTCCATGATTCCCTGGCTAAAGCAAAACCGTAGCAATAGCAGGGCCTCACTTGGGGATGGCGTGCTGAGGTATGGAAGACGTTTCAGCAGGCAGGGTCTCGTGTCGCTTCGTTTCGCATCGTTTCGCCCTTCGCGCCAAACCCCCCGAGGCGGTCTGAGCCAAGAGTGTCTCCATAGCCGCGTCGCAACAACAACGCGGGCCTTGGGTGCGAAAGAGCCAGAGGATTGTTGAGTCCCTGGCAATCATTTGCCTGTGTGACGTGGAGAAGTAAACTGAGGAGTTTCTCAATGTGAAGACTTAAAGCATTGTGGTCAGTCAGAATACCACCCAGGATCCCCTGAAAAAGTCCACGTAGCTTTTGGATGTATCTTGTAAGGACCCCCTATAAGGGACACCATGGCAAGCCCCAAAACAGCCGCACCCACGGAAGCGCGAGGAGATCAACGGAAGCACTGCAGACGTGCTGCTGGAAGTCTACGACGACCAGAGAAAGCGGAACCACATCCTCACGGCGACCATGGATGTCCTGGCCAGAACCTTGAAGGAGCCTTTTCTCCCGGACCTCCAGTGGTGCTCTTGTTTTCATTTGTTTGGAGGGAGTTTCCCTTCAGTAACAACTGCCCAAAAAGGAACGAACGCCCCTGTTTTCCCATGCACATCCACTGGAGAGCTGGGTTCACGTTGCACGCGCCCTTGCAGGCCTGGCGATAGCCTTTCCGCAACAAATGGTGGGTGGTTTGCATTGCCTTGGATTGGAGCCCAAGGCGTTCCCACGGCCAAGGAACGTCTTCAGAGGGGACCATATGACCTTTTGAGTGCTGCGAGGACTATGCGAACTTGAAGGTGGCGAGGATGGAGTCGAGTCAGAACCTCACCTGTCAGCAAGCTTTAACCCGTTTGTATGGTTTCAGCATGTTTCAGCCAATGGCCAAGCGATGCTTTTTCGAGGGTAGCCTTTTTGCTAGGATGTAAAAGGAACATACCAGGGACACCATTTTTGTTTTGGGTGTTGGAGGATCCCCCAAACAAGATTTTTGCAAGTGCACCCTTAGCTCAGGAACTACGTGCCGCCCATCTTTGGCAGGAAGCAGTTCTCCAAGGAAACCGAGCGCCTAGGAGCCAAGAAGCACGTAGGTTTATCGGGGACGCGGTTGCAGTCAAGCAGGGTTCGGCTTGAAAGGTACCGTGGAGGTGTGAAAGGTAGGTTGATATAAGTTGTGTTTGGGGACGTACTTCTTATTTTGGGGTTGGGTTGGATTGGGTTGAACGGGGGGTTGTCCACATTGGTACATTGGTTGGTTTGGTTTGTTTGTTTCTCTGGTCCTTCTGTTCTATTCAATCCGTTTTGTTCAATCCTCGGTTTTCTCTTTTTTGTTCCCTTTGTTCTGTTCAGTCTTTGCTCCCCTGCTCCGTTCTGCTTTGTTCTTCAAGCCTCTATTCCCTCCGTTCCCTCTGTTCTGTTCTTTGGTTGGTTGGTTGGTTGGTTGGTTGGTTGGTTGGTTGGTTGGTTGGTTGGTTGGTTGGTTGGTTGGTTGGTTGTTTGGTTGTTTGGCACGCTTATTGGGGTGGTGGTTGAGGGTTGCTTGTCCAGGTGGGCTTCGGCCTTTCCGAAGGGCTGACACGCTGATTGGGCTTCACGGGGCTTGTCAGGTGTCCGGGCTTTGTGGCCCCTTCAGGCATGCTTCAGGGTTGGACCTTTCCAGCACGCAATGCCCCGGCCCAGTTTGCGCATTTCAATGCGAGACATGTGGCTCAGGCAGACCCACTCAAGGCCCCTTGACATGCGGCTGTCAATGTCATGGCTGAAGCCCCATGCAGCTCACGTCAGTTCCTTCATGGTTTTGGGTCCAACTCACCTGCCAACAGATTGAGGGACGTGGCTGTTGAGTGACGTATTGCTTTAGTCGAGAAAAGTATGCCACGCAGGTTGGAACGTAGATGCTACCGGAGCTTCAGGCAAGGCAAGTTGTAATATGCCACTGGTATGAGCCCCTGCCTGTTTTTCCCCGATGTCAAACACGCAGTAGCCATACTTGCCACCTACAAACTGGTTAGCTAAGAGGTATTTAGAGCCCATACCAATCGCCAGAATTTGGCTTGGATCTGGGCTGCTGAGAAGTCGCCTAGGTACTATTGGGTGCCGCCCAGCATTGCCACTGGGGAATGGGCCCCAACACCGCCGGTGCGGTATCCTGGAGACGTGGAGGCGAGCCCTTGCCAAAATTTTGGGCAGCAGTCTCACCAGGGAAACGACGCCCAACGACTCCCTGCCTGAGCTTAGGGGTTAAGCTTTTTGGGAAGACCACTTTAGCGGTAAAGCAAAAGTTCAGACTTTTGTGGCCAGTCCTCTCAGGAAGTGAGAACAAAAGACAAACATCAAGTTGGTGATTCCTTACACCACCTTCACCAGTTCACTTTTCAGGATCCCCTTGAAAAGCACGTAGTTGTTGGATGTCTCCTCTCAGGAACCCCTGTTTCAATCCGTTGGTGTTGGGTTGGCATTGCGTTCAGTGTGGCTCTATGAGGAGTTTCTTATGTCCGCGAATACTTACCCAGCCTGTCCTTCGTTACCTAAATTTCTGCCCTGAGCCCAAACCCAGTGCAAAACCAAGACTCGTCACCAAAATTATGGCGAATGTACACTTGTTTAGCTTTTTTCCTAAAACCGAGCTGATCCGGTCTCCAAGATGATCTCGCTGAAAGGAGCGACCAGAAATCGAAAAGCAAAACGAGCGCAAAAACATCCGCAAAACGGGCGCACATTTAAAACACGTGGCATTCGCTCGCCTTTCTCCCTCCAAACAGATTGAAAACAAACCACCCTGATTTTGAAGGACCGCGCGCTTTTCGAAGCACCGTGGTTCGCACGCACATTTTTCGTAACACGAATTTGTGTGTCACCATGGTGGGTCCAGGGCCAACAACGTTAGGGTGCTGCGGGTCCTTTTGACAAGGGCCCTTTGCGGCCCTGCTGCCATCTCCATATTCCGTGATGGTATTTTACGGTCGGTGGTAAGTCTGCGTGTGTTTTTGCAGGTACTGGTGGCACGTGCATTTGGCAACCATGCACTCCTCCTGTTCATGTCCGATCCCCATTTGCCTGGGACCTTGGTTCACCTTTGGCGCCCCTGGAGCATCGTCGGGGCGCCGTTGCACCGAAGCACCCCTTCTTCAGAAGCGCGTGGGAAGACTTGCCCTTCGCCAGCCCGGAAGTTGGCTGGACCTAGCTTGGGAAGATGTGTGCGTGTGTGTACATGTGCCAGGACCCCAAGAAGACTTCAACCCCCGCAGAAACACCAGGCACTTTTGTCGGTGCGTGGTAGGGTGGGTCCGTTGGCTTGTCACAATGACCCACACAAAAGAGTGAACGATTTAACGATCAAATAGATCGATCCCTGGCAAGAACTGGGGAAGTACAGCTGGCGCCATTTCGCCATAACCAGACTCAACTCGCGTTGTGCCCTTTTTGCCTCTTGGGCGTTCTTGCAAAACGTCCTTGGCGAAAAAAGGCTGTGGCTACAAAAAACAAGGGTACCATTTTGGTTGGAAGGTGAATTCACCCACCCATTTTAGAACCTATTTTAGTGGTTGGATTGAATCGGATGTTCGCTGGGGGTTCTGCCATGGCTTTTGACCCATGGCCAAAAGTGTAGCAGGTTGCACGCCAAAGTTTTGCCTGGCCGCGCACTGGTTAGCTTCCAGGATGTCACTCCTGCACAGCTCCTGCGCTTCTTCAAGAAGCACACCTTGCGGCTCTACGTGCAGTGAGTGAAGTACCTCACTGGAGCCATAGTTTGTTTAAAACAATCCTAGGCGGACAATTCCTTTTTGATAAATCCGCTTTTCAGAAAAGAGAAAGCTTTCAGAAATCTACTAAACTAGTAGCTCAAGCGTCACCTTTCGTTTGCAGGTCTCATGGCAAGTGTTGGGTTTACCATCCAAATTGCCTCAGCCTCCAAAGGCCAAAGTTTCAAGGCCAACAGAGGTTCGCCACAGGGCCTGATCAATCAAGAGAATGTGTTAGGGGGACTGGTCTTGAAGGGGGGCTCCCTTCGCAAACTTTTTCAAGCCTTTGACTTTTGAACCAGCTGTAATATATTTTTTGTGGCTTCTGGATAGGACAAGCCGAGATTGGTGCCTTATTGAGGGCGCAGGTAGCCCCCTCTCGACTTGGGCGCTAGCGGAGGGCATCTCAAGTATCCCGGCGGAGGTCTTTCTTTGGATATCAGACGTTTCTGGACTTCATGCTTTCGGGTTTGGACCATGTTTCTGTCAAACAGCATTTGAACAAACAGCACTTTAGTGCCAAACATCAAAGAACACTAAGTTTGTTCGTCCTGAAGGCGGGGAAACAAACCCAACCAAGTGGGGTACTAGACCAAAACAACAGGCACATACAGGCACATTGAATAAGCAACACCGACCCACGCAAAGGGCAACACAACAACCAGCAGAACCAACCCAAAACGTTTGATGGAGATCAGTTTTGCTGCGAGGTTTTGCTGTATTTGTTTCGTCAGCGGTGCAACTGTGTCCCGTCTCCCTACCACTCAAGAGCGCTGACATTGCACACCCTTTAAGCTTTTCAGGATGATTATTTTATTGTTAGTGGCTAACAATCCACTCAGGAATGGCAAACCAAACACTTCGGGTGATTAAACATTCAAGAACCAGCTTCGGCTGAGGTCCAGTTGGTCGCTCAAGGAGGCCCTCGAAGCATCCGCGGACATTGGGGAGGAGGTCATGGGCCACGCGCGGGTGCAACAGCAGATGGACGACCGCGCAGAGGCGAGCGGGGAGTGGCGACTGGAGAGTGGGGTGAGGGGCTGTGGGGGGGTTGGGGCGGTTGAGGGCTTGGGCGGTTGAGGGGTTGGGTCGGGGGTTGCGGGGGTTGCAGGAGTGGTTGGGTGGGTGGGTTGGGGTCTGAGGCTTGGGGTTTGGCGTTTGGGGGTGCAGGGCTTGGCTGTCATTTTGGATGTTTAGCCGTAGCCTCGCACCAGCTCACCCAGACTTGGATGTTCCTGGCAAAGGGGGCATACATGGACAACTCACTCCCTTTGGGAAGACCGTTTCCAGTGTCAAGCAAACAGTTTCGACCCGAGGAGGACAAGCAGCAGATGATCAAGAAGATGATGACCACGCTAAAGACACCTGGCCAAGAAGCAGCGGAAAACCGAGGCACCTGTCCTGGTTGCAGGAAATTGGGTGCGGGTTCCCACCTTCCCCGCTCTTCCAACACCCTTCAATGTTAACCCCAAATCATAATATACCCATCCTAGGTATAGGGGGGCTGTTCCCCTCCAAAGTGACGTTCCCCCACTAAAAAGAGAGAAACCTTTCAATCAAAATCAACTGGGCGGTTGGAAGTTTGGGGGGGTAAACTCGTAAACTCACCAGGTCCAACGTGGTCCAACGTGGTCTTAATACAACTTCTTTTCCCGGTCTAAGAATTCGAGGTCGATCCCGGCATGGTCCAACTTAGACCCAGTTCGGTGGTACCGATGGACCGAGCCCCTTTGGCATCAACCCCGTCAAAGCGTCCAATGGCTTTTCGACCTTTTCTGTCACCGGGCAACTGACTAGACAAATAGAACTGGAACTGGGAGAGCCTTCATGGAAGTGGACGGGCCTGTGCAAAATGATGCTACTCTTTCCAAATCTTCACTTCCACTTAGGTCTATGCGGGTCCCAGCTTTGCGTTTGTTAAGGGAACTACCAGCACTAAATTTCAGAAAGCAAATCTTGAAGGATTGTATTTGTTTGTCGTCGATGGTTTCTGCCGAACAGCCCGGTCAAACGCCAGGTACCAGTGCGCTGCTTTCAGAACAGACAAGCCGCCAGAGACAGATGTGTGGCGCGTTCAACCATGTTGAGCATCAACATGCCAATAAGACATTCTGGGTTTCAATCGCTTTCCATTTTGAGGAGGGTAGAAGACGTGGCTCGATTTGTGAAAGCAGTCCGTGCAAACATGTTGGCATCGGAGATGGGAAGGTGCCATGCGTGGGTGCTGGGCGAAGACGAAACACGACAAAACAATCGTATGCAATCTTTGCACGACACTTGCAGTTTAGATTGATGATAGTCATACATGTACTTCTACATACACATCCCTGTTATATATGCACATATCTATATGTTCATAAATGTATATGTGTGCATACAAAAGTGTTTTCTCCCCGTGGCTAAGGAAAGAGAAGGGACTGGTCGACGTGGGGGAGATGATGGGCCTGAAGAAAGCTGCCGACGCACTGGACCTGGAGGTACCCGAGGGACCACCGAGAAACAAAAAACATCCCAGATTCGGTTTTTCTCAGTTGCTCAGTGGCAGCAATTATTTTTCCATCTTTTTTTGGTGGCCCCACTAAATAAATCCGGTCTTCCCCGAAAAGAGTTCCCATTTTTTTCTTCCAGGGTCACTGAACAACTGAGCTTTCCTTGGAGGGAGGCCCAAAACGTGAATCATTGCCAACAACCAGACCTCGGTCATTCCTGGCAAACCAAGAAACGCAGCCATCCCTTTGCTTTCCCTGGCAAGCCAAAATACTGGGCATTCGTTCCAGCATTCCTCAAAGGGTAAACCAAACATGTTCCATTCCTTCGGTTTCCCTGTGGGTAAGCCAAGTTTTGTTCTTGCTGGCGCTCAGTGGGTTCTTAATTTTGTCCAAGCCCCTGTTCAACCCCTCCCAAAGACTTTTTAGAATCTCCCACGGCTGGTCTTGTGGCCAAACGAGCCACCCACCCTACCTCTCCTCTTCTCCATGTTCCCGTGGAAGTGAGCTGCATGGGCCTCGCCCGGTCGCTCTCAGGACTTGTTGCTAGGTTCCATGTAGAGGCAGAGCAATTTGCAAAGGGTTCCCTTGATTCCTTGCACTCAAGGATTCCCAGCACCGGAAAGGGCCCCCGTATTTCTCCTACCTGGGTAACAGCAACTGCTAGGCAGTGTTCCTGTTGGCTTTGGGAATAGCAAGGGCGATCAACCTCTTGCGCTATTCCTGGGTCAACGTTTGGTACCAGTTTGCCCCTTGACACAAATGATGAACAGTTAGCGATTTTGGTGACAGATTGCATCTTTGCCCTGAATCAGGAACTTTCACATTTGCAAGAACATTTCACTGCTCTCTCCTCCGGGCCTAAGCCCAGCAGTTTGGTTTGATCAAAAAGCTTCTTCATACCTTACAGGACGAGCAAAGAACCAAAGGACACATGTTTCATGTTGAATCCTCGGCTTTTCGGTTTAGGACGTCGATCCGAATGCATCAGGCAGAGAAGCCCAAGCCGAAGAGGGGCAAAGGCAGAGCGGCGGAAGTCAGCCCAGAGGACGGATTGCTCAACTTTTGAAGGAGTGACCCCTGTGAATCAGCCAAAGCCATTCCCTTTTTGCCACAGCCACCGGGGGGGGGGGTTGAACCCCTTTTGGGTGGTTGAATTTGTGAATTTGAACCGGACATGGTTCCCAAACATGTACCTCTTGCATGGGGTGGTTGATTATTTCCCACTGGGCCAGTGTAAGCCATTTTGGAAAGTGGGCCCACACAGCGGGGAGCCTATATTTGGCTCCCCTAAAGTGGTTGCATGTTAGGTTCTCAAAGAAGTTCTCGGCGGTTTTTCTTGAGCATCTTGTCGGATGTCACATTAGTGGACTCGAATATTTACCCTTTCGAGGTTCCCGGTCGATTTCCCTGATACCGGGGTCTAAAAGCGTCACCTTTTGTTTCACAATTCGATTCATGATTTGCCTGGGCCCATTCCGCAAGCATAACTTGAGATGGTGTGTTGGTTTGTCGGTGTGTTTGTGTGAGTGTTTGATTTGTGAGGATCCCTTGTCAGGCTGGTTTGAAGACACACCAAAATAAACACCACGATTGTTTGACTTTTGAGGTCCCCTATTCTGAGACAGACGCATAGTCCAGGTTCCCTCAACCGTGATCGCTTGTGCCGTGTCGCTTCAAAACAACTTGAAAACGGTACACCACACACACACCCACCCACGCACGCCCGCATGTACACCAAACCGGTCCATCACTGAATTGGACTTCGGCGGACTCGAGGAGGAGGAGGAGAGGCGAAAGCGTCGCCGGGAGCAGCTAAAGAAAGACGAGGAGAAGCAGAAGGACATCGCCAGGCGCGTTGATGCGCCTTGTGGCCAGAGCGTTGTATTGTCAGAATAGCGAGGGGTCAAAACAAGATGGTTTTTGCCGTCGGATTTCCTATTAGGCCACCCTTTAAGCGGGTACCGAGCCTCGAAAACACAGCCCAAAAGTTCTGTTTGGCAGTACTTGCCGGAATATGCGTGAGTAGCTACACAATCCACTGATGTCCCTTGAATATGTCGACACTGTTTCCGTGAAGTTGCACTTCTTTGGTGAAACTGCAATGCTACACACTTGCACGAAGGCTGCAGTTGGTCCAGCAAAAGCTTGTTTTGGCAGTAGCGTCATGTTGTTTGCGGCATCTGAATGGTGTCCTCGCTTTTCGGTAGGGCTGTCCACGCATGTCCACGTGTTTTCCAGGCCGTTCTACGTCTTTTTGAGGCCTTTCCACGGGTTGTCCACGCAAAGAACAGAGTGTTGCCAATGTGGTTCTAGTTCTTGCCCAGCATCAAGCAGAGTTCCACAAAGAGAAACTTACAAGTGAAAAGCATGGCCCAAACTAGATGACAGGAAGGTCGCCGCTACATTGCTGCTGAAGAGAGCGCGCTGGCATTCACGTATATTGTTACTTCATGTACGTACGTGTTCTGGCTTTGCAACTTCTTATCGCCGGTGCTGAGTGCCTCTTTCCAGAATCAGCGGCACTTGAGTCCCATTGGCTGAGGCGATTTCAGGCCAGACCCCCACTAGACTCAAGAACCCTTCAAGAGAAGGCATAGCCCCAAAGCTATGCAAGTTTGCCGTACATACTGTTCAATTCCTTGGCCAATTTTAGGAGCACGATTTTTCGAGGCCGAAGGCCTCACTGAGATAAGGCCTAAGGCCTTACTTAACGAGGCAGTCGGGCCTCCAACAGTTCCTCTCCGCGCCAAAAAACAAAGCCTGGGCCTCACTAAGAGAGGCCCCGGACGGTCAGGAAATTAATTCCTGGTTGGGTTTGGTTCCATTTCAGAGGGCATCCGGATGAATTGTTTGGGAGACAGGCGCCCTGTACTCAGGTGTTCAAACCGTTTTTGTATAGAAGCATAATTCCTCAAGCCCTGGGGTGTCAGCCAAGTGCGTGCTACATAGCCCAGAACTCAGGGAAGCCAAAAGAGGATGGGAAGTCGAAAAGTTGAATAGCGCGAACTCTTTGTAAGACCCACTGAACTCTGATCTATGGCCAGGAAAGACAAGGAGAAGAGGAAGCGTCGCCTGGAGGCAGACAAGCAGCGGAAAGAGAAGAAGAAGCAGGTGGGCAAATTAACGCAAAGCCATGGCTTTCCCTTTGGGCGCGAAATCTTCACTTTTCTTAGCATGTTTTTTGCGGTTGTCCTTTGAATTTATTTGCACAAAAAAAGAAGAATTAAGAAACATATCAAAACCAAAAAAAAAACTAAACACAAAAACACACACACCTCTGAGCGTCATTTGTTTGGGCTTTAGTGGTCCGTATTGTTCGGCCAGGAGGAGGCCCTCCGATTGGAGGCCGCGAAGAAGGCCGCGGAGGAGAAGCGCCGCAAGAAGGAGCAAGAGAAGCTGCGGCAGCCGGACGCTGGGATTGAACCATTCCCTTTTCCGGATTTTCCTTTTCCTAGGTCCCCCACTCATGCCCTTTTACCGTTTCTATTTGGGGGAGGTTTCCCCTGCTCTAACCTCTCTACTGGAGGACCTCGCCCTGGATGTCCTTTTCAACTTCGTTTTTTGGGGGGTTTGGACCACTTTTGCGGCAAATATACATTTTAGTTTTTTTTGGGCCATCCACTCAGCAAGCGATCTTTTCAGGATTTCCTTTTTATAGGATTCCACCTGCTCTTTCCCTCACTTACCTGCGGATAGGGCAGGAAATTATCTGGGATTGTTTGATTTGGGTGGCAACTCGCAGCAGAGCTTCCTGTCATGTCACTGGCTTTTATGCCATCTCATTTTTTCGTTTTATTTTTTTTCCGAAGGGGCCTGTCTTCGATGGGAGTTTGCGTGGCACCAACTAATGCACGATCAGACCGGCAGGATTGGAATCAGACCTGGGGCAAGAGGCGTCCAAGGAAAACATGTTACTTGATTCGTCACTGCATGGGATACTTCGTACTTTGGATTTAGTTCGTGTTGATGCAACATCAAAGTTCTTTGACATACGAGACAGGGATGCTCTATATACAGTCAAAGTTGGCCAGGCCCGGCTACCTTCCAGGCATTTCCCCAGTCTTGGATCCTGAGAGTTTTGTGGCTGCAAGTGCTACTTTGCGGTTACTTTGCGATTCGGGTGCGGCTTTCTTCCCTCCTTGCAGGCATTGCAGGTTGGTGGCTAAGACCACGCAAGTTGGTAGCTAACTTGCAAGAAACCAGTCGCACACAAATCGCACCCGTCACCTCGGAACAAGTTGGGTTTATAGCGGCTTCGAGACTTCCTGGGGAGAGTTACTTGTCTGCCAAGCAAAGTCTCATTTCTTGTTTCAGATTTCTTAGCACACTGCATGACCGTACATGAAACCGTGTTTGTGCCTTGAAGATATTTTCCTGGAGCACAAGATTAAGAAACCCATGACTGACACATGGGGATTGTCTTTTCGGGGATCCTTTGCTTGGAATCCGATTTCCCCCCTGAAAAGTCCGTCGAAATCCAGGGGCGACATTACCCCGGCCGTAGCTGTAGGGTTGTGAGCCGCCCATTGAGTAGACTAGATGGGTTTCCATCAGATTCGCATTGACCAGTGAGGGCTCCGGACCCTTTTATCTTCACAGTGACCCGTGCGCTTCTTTATGCATTGATTGCCCGCAAAGGGGCAATTTGAACATGAACTTGCTGTTTTATGCAGGTACACACGGCATCCTCGAAAGAAACCTGCAGTGGCAACGGGGGGCATGTTGAACATCGCGATTGGTTTCCGCGGCGGTTTTAATTGTCAAGCTTTACACGGACAAGCTATTTGTGGACCCCTTATGGGTATCGCCTGCAGAAGGCGGCGTGTGTGCCGTCAGTGTGCAAGCAACAGGGGCCATCCTTTTGACACCTCCCAAGAAGCAACCGACAAAATAGCAACAGAGATCTCTTCCCCCCCGTGTTTCTATGGGGATCCGAAAGGCGACTCCCGACTCAGCGAGTGAGGCGACTCCTTTGTTCTCCTGGGGGCAGTCCAAGGAGCAACTCCGCATCCTGTCTCAGGAGTTTGGAGCTTGGACGAGTCCTTTGCCTCTTAGGGGTTTCCCTTTCTCGCTCGCTCAGTTGGGTTTTAGTCACTTGGGCTTGAACCATTTTAGTGGATTGGCAAGCTAAGTCCCCCAGTATGGTGCCTATCCCTCAAGATTCCACATAAAGATAGTGCACTATGTCATAGGTTGTTCATCATTCTGGCATCTTTCTATTCATTTCTTGATTAACAGAATGTTCCCCCCAAATGAGAAACAAATGATAAATAACATGTTTTCCCTGAGGTCAGTCTATGTTTGTCAAGCTCTCATAAGTGCAAATCTTGATTCCCCAGGTTTTCCGGGCCTCGAACATCTCCAAATTAGGTGCAGAGCATCCACACTTAGAAACGTGTTTTTTCCAGGGCGACCCTTTTCTAGTGGAATTCACGACGCGTTTCTAAGTGTAGGAATGGTACGGACCGAATTTGTTTCTAAGTGCGGAACGGGAATTTTGGAAACCAAACCAGTTTATAAGTGTGAATCCGTCACAATAGTGCCCTTTCTCACCCCTCTTTGGGGGAGGGTTCCCCTACTAAAATAGACAACAGAAAAAAGTGTATTCCCACCTCTCTAGTGGAGGACCTAGCAAAGAAATGGTGGACATTTTGTTGCCAATCCAGGTGAGCTTTGCACGGTAATGCGGCTCGCCACTCCAGTCCTTTGGTCTTTTTTCAGACTTGGGTCGTTCGAGTGGCAAGATCCAAACAGTGGCCACTCCACTCAAGTGAGCTGTTTGGGCTAACAGATGACTGAAACTGGGCAAACATGGGGGTTCTTTTCTGGGTTGCCACCTTGCTGATCCCGGGATTGTGAGAGCAACCCGCAACCCTGCGTAAAGCCTTTTCTACCACGGTCGCCGGACAACAGGGACCAGGTTGGCAAAGCGAGTCAACACGCAGACCGTTTGGAGCTGTTTAACCCACAGTGAACCGGCTCTCACAGGCCGCATCTCGTTTTTGATTGCAAAAAGCATCAAGTTTGTCCCCACCGCCGACCGCTGTCGACGAATCTGGAGCGATTCTGGTTTCAAATGTGCTTTTGCAACCTCAGGGACTTTGATTTGTGGCCGATTTCACATGTTCGAAGCTCACTTCACAAATTTTCTGGATTTGCGTGGGAAGGTTGTCACAAGCAGTTCGGTCAGAGTCAAAATTAGCCTAATTAGACCACCAATAAACTGCAGGCTTTTGTCCTTGTTTCCCATGTACGAGGGTTCTATTTGGCGTACTGTACCTCTTTTGACCCAATTGGTGCACCTGCAGAAGAAGTGCGCCGTCCCTTCCCATCCCTGCTCCCTCACCATGCCATAGGCATCTCCGTGTCCGTGCCGAAGATGAAGGAAGCGCCTTGGGCCACAGACAAGTCTTATCCAAGAAACGAAACAGCCGCAGACGCCGCGACGAACAGCCAGGCAAGTCTAGCAGAAGCCAAGCCGAATCCCGCCGGGGGCCGTGGCCACCCGCAAAGTATCGCTGTTTCACGACAGAAGGGTCCCCCCACATGTCGCAGCAAGCGGTCAGAGGCTTGCGAGGAACTTGGACACTTACTCGGGCGTGGTTCAAAATGAAGCCAACCGGATATGGACCGCAGGTTCAACTCCTTGGTTCCATGTATCCGGGCAACCCATTTTGGGTACCGATTTTTCAAAGCAAATGTGTTGTCTTTCTGATGTCTTTCTGTGTTCTGGGTCGAGGTTTGCTCCAAATCCTATAGCATTGGACTTTGACCATGTGCTGGCTCTTGAAGGCGAACAGGTATAAGTATTGAATCAGTGGCCTTCGGACAGTTGCGAATCCTGACGGCCAGGACCTTTTTCCCCCGGTGTCATCCAAATTTCAGCCGTAGGTCCTTATTAGGGTGTTGTTCAGCAAAAGCGAGGGGAGGCGTGGAGGAGGTTGAAATGCTGTAGTGGAACCCAGAAAGGATTTGTTGGATCATAGCTCTTGAGATTGGGTCACAGTTTCCGGAAGTCTGTTGTCCATGCGGGTCGGACATTCATTCAAGGTGGGGTTTGTTTGCTCCTTGATTCGACGGAAGTTGCCTCGAAACCCTTTCGAAAACTGCACTAGTTTTCAACTAACTGCAAAGGATTCACTTGGGGAACCCGGTAGTTCTTAGGGCATGCATGCAGAGGGGACGATTTCGCATGATTTCTCCCAACATCATCAGAGCTTTCCTTGTGCTTCAGGCCCAGAACTTGTTTGCTCACACACAAAACTGGGCCCACGGACCAGTTTTTTCATGGCACCCAGGCCTGTGACTCGGCACGGGTCCACGCCTCCCGTCCCCCGTATTTTACCGAGGACTCTTTGCGGGTATCTCTGGCGCCAGATCGAGTCAGCTTGAGGGCCCTGGACTGGCAGATGCGGCCGCCGCCTGCCCGCACGAGGATAAGAATCGATTCTAGGTACCGCCCGATTTCCTCGCGTGCAAAGTTGCTGGTGCGGAATCGGCAGGGAATGAGAAAGGGAACGGCGCCTGTAAACCATCCAGCTGGTGGTTTCTTTGAGGGGAATACCCTGGAGTTCATTCCCTCATTCCCTGAAATGCGATAGCACGACCCACGGAGCCCGCGACACCAAAGCACGAGGGTAGAGAAGGCGTGGCTGAATGTCCCTCCAGCGTCTTATGCCAAGGTCTTCGCAAGCCTGCGGAGGGCCTCGTTTAGAAGACGCGTCCAGAAGCCCACGGTCCTATGTTGCTGGGTAGGAGGTATTATAGGGCTTCCGTTTTGAAGCAACAATCACATGTACACTGAGGAACATTACAACCCCCCGGTTGTGTCGGGGCAGCCGGCGCGTAAACAAATTAAATGTGGCACCCAATGAAGGGGCATGAGTGTTCATCATGGACTAGGGCCAAGTTAAACTTCGGCAACCAGTCAATGTTCCCGTTCCAGTGGCTCATAGGATCCCCCTTTCCTCTCAAAAAGCAAAAATCCAACATGATCCATTGAGCCCTCGAGTCTTGTTTGTTTTTTTACTGGCTGTTGCTGGCTGTCATTACGCCGTGCTGTTTTTTTTGAGATTTTTTGAGTGTGTCCGGAGTGCCCGGGCCCTGCAGCTTCGTTGCAATGGGACCTGTTGCCCTCTTCAATTTCCTTCGGACAGTTGCCTCCTCCGCCGGTCTTCTAACATGTGGTCCCATGTGATGACTGTTAGAATTTCGGGGGGAGGGGGCAGCGTCCAAGGATCCTTTGTTTCCAGTGGCCCCTTGAGCCACTGGGGTTGATTCAAATGGCCCCAACAGGCCAAGTTGTTATCTCCAGGTCCCAGGTGGCAAGTGAGGAGTGCGGGCGCCGGCCCTCGTTATTTTGTTTTGTTTAGAGCCTGGTCTTTGAGGCCCTGGGGATACTGTACTTCCTGTGGAAGTGGACATCCTCCCCTCGGACCTTGACAAAACACGGCAATGGGTTAAAACAAACATGTCATACATATATATATATATGCACATATATACAAGCATATGTATATATATATATATAGTTAGCGTCTTCGGGTTATCCTTGCCCCACTCGAGGCACCTCCTAGACTTCGAGCTGCGGGAGTTCGTGGATGTGGAGAACTCCTCCTGGGCTGCGTCGGCCGAGGGCGCACTTCTCACGTTGCAGAAGAGCATCTTCCACCGCTGGGAGCGCCAAAAACTGGTTGGTCCAAGCGGGTTCGAGATGCTGGGAATATGGCCCCCCAACCAACCAGCCAACTGGCCAAAAAACACATACCCTTCAACCCACCACTGAACGGGGGTGACTTTGATCATGGTAGAAGAATGAGGCCAGTAAACTGTCCGAAGGGTCGAACTCTCCTTCATGTTCTCCCATGGGCAGACAAAATGGGTGTGGTTGTCAAAACCGTTATGGGATCCCAGTTTGGGGTAGATGCACCACGCATTTTAGAACCTATTTTAGTGGGGATTGGGATGTTCACTGGGGGTATGGGGTGTTGACCCATGGCCAAATATGAAGCAGGGGCCAAATCTCAGTCAAGGTGTTGGAAGTGGTAATCCCCGTTGCGCGAGGATCGCTTGGCTCAGAACCACAGCGCAGTGAAGAACTTCTTGCGCGCCTCGGCGCAAGGCAACGGCAAGTCTCACTTCGTCGGTTCCTGGACGCAAAATTCAGTGAAGGGTTTAGTCAGTTGAGTGGGAGATGCAGCCACACAGCCGCTATATAAACGATAGCCGGTTCATGGGTACTGGTGTACGGGTAATGTTGACCCAGGATTAAAAAACAACCCGTGCCATTCTAAGGGGGGTGTTCTCTCCAAACGTGATGAATCCCCACCCGTTAATCAACCAGGGCTTTATTCATCCGGGGTTAACCTTAGTGGCAAGCATCTTGTTTTTCTTTTGAGAAGCTTATTCCGCGAAGCCTTAAGGAAGGCTAGGGCTAGTTGGAAGAGTTCGGGGGACTGCTGGGCCCCTGAGCCTTGATTTGGTTTGACGGGGGTGCCCTTTGCGTACAGTGCGAAAGTGTCCCCTCTTGCCCACGGGGTCAAATCACAATAGGTGTGACCAGGGTCGAGGATCATTGTTTTGGAAAGGGCGACACCTTCCTTGACTTGAAGCAAAGCAACTTTTCAATTGGGTAATACTGAGCCAAACGCAGGATAAATGTTGAGCTTCTACAGTCTTATGTGAGTCAGTTAGCTGTTTACTTACTGATAAATTTGCTTCCCCCAACCACTTTGCTCCCATGCCAATTTGCCACCGATGGGCAATGGTTCAGATTTACTTTGCGCACAAGAAACTAAAAGGGGATTTGGTTTGGTGTTGTTGGCAAGCCCGAGATACAATACATCAACATACACTCAGCAAGTGAACGAGTGAGGGAGACAAAGAGAACAAAACAAACCAAATCCCAAAACCCGAAAGATGAAACAAATGATACTGTGGATGGACGAAATCCTGCACCACCTAGAAAACCCAGGAATGATGATTCCCCAGAAATTACCAACAAACATTGGTACCCATGGTTTCAAAGTGGTGCAGGATTTCATCCATCCACAATATAAGGACCACTGGTGACTCTCAGACTTGGATGATCCTTTTGCGCTGAGGCAAGGACTGGGTTCAGGACGATGGCGCGCTGGAGGAGGACCAAGAGGATGTGGAGCTCCCATCGGGCGCAAACATCAAGACACATGTCGCAACGGCTTGGGGGGTAAAACGAGCAAGCGAGAAAGCCATGGTAAAGATCCTGCTGCGAATGAATGCCTGATTTTTGTTTTTGGACATATTTTGTTTGCAGATGTTATGGGATGGTGATTGGTGGATGTGCTTTTTGTTGTGTGGCTATCTCGGCTTTTGCGGTCCTCGTCGCTCTCATTGGCTGACCTTGGTTGCCGTTTTGCTCTTGGCCTTTTGCTTGGTTAATGTTTGGTTGCATCTTACATCTTTGTGCTTGACTAAAGCAATGCGAACAAGCCAAATCTGTAAAGTCTAGGCGTAGGGTTGAACGTTGGCCATGTTGGCTTCCTTCCACCCGCTTGGCTTCCCGAGGAAGGTCTCGGAAGAGACGATGGGCAAAGTCCTGCAGACACACAGTCTGCTGGTGCTGGCGCCGAGGTTCCCCTGGTGCGACAAGTGCAAGGTCGGCCTGAGAGGTTGCCTGCTGTTCCCGGCTACGCTTAGATGGTGGTTTGGATTGGCTGAGGGAAGGTGAACGCCCAAACCACCAAACCACTGATCGAGGGTAAGGTGACTACATCCGGAAGCTCACTGAAGCCACGGGGGCTTGTCAAAACTCAGGTTCCTTGCCGCGAAATAGCTCCAGATAAGCGGGACAAGTGTGTCTTTTTTGAGGCTCTGTACCCTTTTTGGGCTGGTTTAAAGGGAAGCCAAAAGGAAACCTTTGCCATTCTGAGGGTTCCCCTAGATTCCGATGTGAAAGAATCCAACCACCCATTTCCTTTCAGTATGTCCTTTCAACATCCCGAAAAATAAACAGCACATTTGAGGAGCAAAAACTCTGCACCAGCGGATTTGCAGGATCCCATGGTAAAGCATGTGATGTTTGGCTCAGATTTCCCGATTTCCCCCTGAAGCGTGGCTTTGACCACCACACCTTTGGCCAGAAGGCGAGCTTCAACTTTTCGCAAGGTGAACTTCTTGACACTGGGCAGTTTCGTATGCTGCCCAAGAAAACACAAAAGGGGATGTCATGTGTTTTATTTGAAAACCAACCCACCAGAGGGTGGGACTCCCGTTCTTATGGTTTCCTTTTCTCCTTCTCTGACTTGCCTTCAGGGAGGAAGTGTCTGCGGGAAATGGATGTTCATCTTAGTGAAAGCCAAGCTGCGCTCGCAGCAAGGGCCGAAGACTTGACAACGGGAGCAAACGCGAGGGAGTTTCTCATTAAACCCTTTTGGTTGGAGACCAAACAGGAGACGAAGAGGGAACCATAGGGAACCCGTCATGTTGGGGGACTCTTCAGAAACACCCAATTACAAACATGCTTCGCCCAGTAATTTTGCTTTCACGTATCCCCCATCATGAGTCAAGTTGGTTTCACAGCACTTACCCCCCCATGACACTTCGGCCGGCCTGGCATTTACTTCCCCAGAATTAGTTCCCCCTTTGTATAATTTTTCTTTTTTTGGGGTTCCCTTGGTTTTCCACTAACCCGGGCAAAACACATATATATATATATATATACAAAAAATGCTGGGGTCCTAATTCCAGCCTGGTATTGATTTGCGTGTTCGGTCTCTCCGTGTTGAGTTGGGAGTCGTCAGGAGAAGGACCGGGAGTTTGCCAAGGCCGCGCGGATCAGCCGGGAGAAGGATCACCTGGAGATGGTGGCCTTTGGACCCTCGGACTTGCCGGATCGATCGACCCGGCGGGCGGGTCAGCAGGCACCGGTCTTCGTTTGTAGCGCTTTTTGTTTTTGCCAGGTTTGCCTTGAAGATATAAGATGTGCTCCTGATCCTGCGTGTTTTGACGCGTGTTGACTGGGATTTGTTTGTTTTCGAAGAGGTTGTTCTTTTTTGGTCTGGTTGTGAAGCCTTTGAGGGGTCTTTTTTCAGATGCAGGTTTTCTGGACATTCTACTGTATACTCTTGTTTGGGAAGACCAGTGTCAGCTCGCTTTATTGGACTCCCGAGCTGTGGTTGGGCCCATACGCCGAGAGCTTCCAAAGAGCGAGCTAGGCATGGCAGTCCCTGGCCCACAACTGCGGTATGGCGCATAAGCCTCTTGGCCTCTTGTTCAACTCGCACCATACGCCCCGCCTTTCCCCCCCCTCCCCAAGAAAAATGAAGAAGAAGCTAAAACACAAACACAACCAACAACAACAGCAAAACAAGCACATGTTGACTTCCGCTCCCTTGTTGGTGGCTCGTTTGAGGCGTGCTGGATGCGCGGGAGGAGAAGCACCTGGCAAGGAAGCACAACGTGTCCTGCAGCGAGGAGTGCGAGCTACTTCTCTTCAAGGCCGGTCGGTGAACCGGGCCCTCCCATGGTTGTTGTTGGGAAACATTTTGCATTCTTGCTTTTTGTGGTTTAGTGGGAAATCCCCAATTTGTTTGCTCCCCTTCCAACGTCCACCGAGCATGTGTCTCCTCTAGAAAACGGTTTGGATTTGCGCCTCGTGTGGATTTTAGTCCAGTTCTTCCCCCTGATGATCCTTTTCTTCGTAATCTTTTAGGACTCTTCTAATATTCAGTCCTGAAGTGCACCAAACCCTGAAAGTTGGCAACCATCTCACCCACGGAGTGCTAGACTTGAAAACTTGGCCCTTTGTTGACCTTACTTGCAATTTTAAAACTAAACATGGACCAGAATCGACCATCCCCATCACCGCCCTTGGGCCTTGAGCAGCCAGGAGGATGAAGAAGAGCCCTACACTGTTCCCGGACGCCGCTTCGCAGAGGAGATCCAGATCGACTGCCCCTAAGCAATGGTTGGGAAATGCAAGCTTTGGGGTAGGGGCAAGACCCTCGTACCTTTGCAACGCCTTGTGGCTAAACTTGGCAGAGCTGGACCTCAATTGGGAGTTGATTTCAACTGGAATTGGTGTGAGTCGTTGCTTCCAGGCCCCTAGAACTCGAGTGCAAACGCAGGGTTTGCCCGTCCGATTGTTCATAGTCCCCCATGTGGCAGCCACAAAGAGTCCACCTTTTTGGGAGGCATGTCCAGAGAATTCCAGGCTTGTTTCAGCGTGCTTCAACTTGCAGCGAATCCAGCGTACCCCAAGCCTTGGAGAATCCGTAAGGAACTCATGGAGGTTGCCCCATGCTTGTTGTTGGGGAACATTTTTCCCATTTTTGGAAACTTGTGGTGTGGTTGAAATCCAAATCCACTTAACCGCTAAAATTTTGAATATTTATTTTGCTCCCCAAACCCAACGTCAACCAAGGGGCCCGCCCCCGAAAGGCCCAAGGCCCAAAGGCCCCAAGTTGCGGCCATAGCCCTTGGGCCTGGCTTTGCTTCGGAATTGCCGACAATTCGCCGGGGGGGTCGGTTGAAAATTGGCAGATCCGTTTCACCAGGTTCCAAAAAATTGCTGCCTTACTGGACTTTGTGCTTGGGAAGGACCAAGTTGGTACAGTTCGGAGTTCGGACTTGGCCCCCACTGCAGACTGGAGTGGTTTGCAAGAGTCCCCGCCTATTTTGTTGCAAGCGGACCTGGGGGTATAGCAAGCTCACCACAAAGGTCCTTTACTTGAGAATCCGTTAATTCAGCTTTTGAATTTATGGTCAAATTTACAGACACTTCCATTTGCTTAAGAACATTTATTATTTTCCCCTGCTAGTTTTAAAGGGAATCTATCACTACTGGACATATTTGTTCAAGTGGACTTAAGCAAATGGAAGGACACTGCTTTCGCTGGTCTTGGACGCCTGAAGCCGATTGAAGGCTCCCACCTTCAGGAGTGTGTTTGAGGGTACCTTTCTCACCTCAGTTTAAAGTGAAACCAACAGGGAAAACCAAGGCCATGGATAGGGTTTGATGTCCATGTTGACACATATTGCTGCATACGCCCTGACGCCCTGACCACAAATTTTGTAGCCTCAGCCAGCACTGAGCTCATTCCAAGTCCCATCCCTTTCCCTTCACAGCAGCAGCCCGGGACCCGATGTTCACCAACCCAAAGCCTAAAGCAGCGCTTTGCCCACCTCCACACACAATTGACACAACGCCCCTTCGCCGATCTTTGTCTTCCATCCTCCCCAAAATCAAAATGAACCCTGAACCGGCCACAAACCTCCAATCAAACCAAGCAGCCCACGATCAATCCTGATGACGCCACCTCCCCTGCACGCTAGACTGGGCAGGGTCCGGGGAAACAGAAGGACAAGCGTGGACCAAAACTGTGAAAGGCTTCCTGTGTACGTCCATGAACCCATGGCCCTGCTGGATCCCTTTCGCACAATTAGCCAAACAAGAAGGATCCAATTACCAATAAACTAGGGGTTCACACCAGGAGTGCAGAAAAAAGTGAGGCTTGTCGGGGTCAGATTGACAGAGAAGCCGCATGTTCAGCCATTCACACCCGCTCCTCAAGGAGAAGACTCATCAGTTTGCATCCCCCTGAGGGGCGAAACTGGACAAAAGTCTTTGAGAAGGGTTCAAAACAGTACTTCCGTTTTGATCCAGACCTCCGGCGGTGCATTGTTTCCTAGCTGGTTTTCCCGTACAGTCAACCTCGTGGAGTGCTACATGCATCTTTGTCTCGACTCGGTGCGACTCGGTAGCCCAGACTTGTTCATTTGTTGGGAACCAACGGAGGTTGGGTTCTCGACTTTTTGTGTAGACCCACACACCATCCACTCGTTCAAAAAGTTAGTTTGGCTTGGCGGCTTGGCGGGTGGAGTCAGGCTACAAGCACTTGCTGCCGGTGGTCAGCGAGATCGCGAACCGGAGCCAGTGGCTCGAGCTTTCGGCTTTCCTTCTGGGCCTTTAGGAAGCTGCCAAGCTGGGTGCGAAAATCGGGCACCCCCCCCAAAATGGTGTTTGTTTTTTCGGCTTCCTGAAGCCACCCCCAAAAGGAAGAGCGATTGTCTTGTGGTGACTTGATTTGGTTTTGAAGCAACCCTCCAACCGATTCTACATACTGAGCCCTGCCCTTTTGGAAAGACGAAACAAGTGCAAAGGCCGTCGGATCAGCGCGATGCTCCGAGGTTCGAGCGGGTGCGCAGTGCTTTTGACACGGCCATCATGGGCTTCTTCCAGGGCACCAAGGATGGAGTGAGACCCTGTGGGTTGGATGCTTGATTATTCATAAAATTATTCACAAAAAAAAACCAAAGGAGCAAATGTGAAGACCGCTGGATGGTTTTCCGTTCCCCACACATCTCGTAGCTGAGGCCATTCTCAGGCGTCCTTGGAGTTTTCTTTAGGAGGAAAAAACACACTGCAAAAGGCCAGGATGCACAGTGTTGAAAAAAAAAGCAACCCTAGGTGGGGGGGGGGGGGCTCTTGCTTTATTGGGTAAACTAAATATGAGCCAATGTCCGAAAACACACAATTTTCTCTGCACAAGTGTGGGCCATGGGCGTGTCTTTTTGACTGCCAGGAGTCGGACCAGTGGTACCCCCGCTTCCGTGCGGTGGCGCGTCAGCTCCGGGGCCACGCCCTCTTCGGGGCCGTGCCCTGGCGAAGCTTCCGGCCTTCTTTTTTTTTTTGCAGAGGGTTTGGTAAGGTTGAAGGCAACCAGGGTATTTTGTCTGGGGCCCTTTGGTTAGGAAACCCTTGGTTGGTGGTTTGGAGATTGGTGGTTTGGATTTGGATTTGAAGCCCTGGTTTTTGTAGAGGGTTGTGGGAAACCCCTCCGTTTCACCAAGCCACCAATCCACCAATTTGAGGGAAGCTGACTTGCTCCATGGATATTTGGTTACGGATCTTTGGACCTCGACTTGTTGGTCGAAACAACGGATTTTTTTCCATGGGACCCACAAATAGTTAAGCTTTCGCAGAGGGGTCCACAGCACACAGGAAGTGTCTACCCCTGAGTTCAGGGGCTTCTTGCTTTTTGAGAGAGTCATTGAGACAGCGCTGGCTGTGCTTTTCTGGGAACATGTGTTTCGCTATTCTAGTGCATTCAGTCGCGGGGGGTCCTTCGTTTTGGGGGTTGTTTTGGATAGCCGACCTCTAGTGGTGGCTTTTGTTGGCGAGGGCCAAAAAAGCGTGCTTTTCGTCCTGAAATCCGCGTTCCCGAGTTCCTGCACTTTATACTTGTTCGCAAGGCAATCCTCAAATGTGTGCAGTTCAACCTTTGTTGGTGTGATGCTAGGGGACAGATAGGGAACCCTTAGCGGCGTGGTCTTGTTTTTTGGGGACGGTGCTCCTACCCAGGTAAGTGGAATGTGCCAATCTGGCGGGTATATAACCCCCGTGTTTCCCGGTGACTAGCCTGGCTTGTTTGGAACAGCTACCCACCATATCAGTTGCCAGCTTACACGTTAGAAGCAAAAGAGAGAACTTGCTTGGCAATCCAAGCAGAGCTTTTCCAGGAACCCCATCAACGCTTTACACATTGGCTTCACATGGGCTTGGAGGAGACTGGAAACAGGGTCGCCCAAAAACAAAAAAAAACTCCGAAGGTTTTTTGGTAGGTACCATCTTGCTTCCTAGGGAGTAGCCCACCTTGAGGTTGAAAGCAGTTGCAGTTTTCAGCCTCTTGCATGTCACTGTTGTGTACTGTACTTTTTTTTGCCCTTTTTAGTGTCTGTTCATTTGCCGGTCGGCAAATATTTGTTGCATGGTTTTGCTGGGAAGTTCCCCGCAACTGCACACCAAGGAACCATGTGCCTTCTGGCAACTCTTGCCGCCATTTCGCTGTTTCAGTATCTGCTCATTTCCGGTTGAAGGCAAAGACAATTACATTCTTTTCGCAGGGTTGTTCTTCCCCCCCCCCCCCGCGTTTTTTTTCTTCTTCTTTTTTGCTGTAATCTGTTCAGGTACTCTTTGAATATTCGACTGGGGTGGATCCACCGATTCGCCAAACACCTCCAGGTCTTTCAAGGCCTCCCAAGCGACATGGGCATCGACTTCCGCCCCACGACCGTTGCGGCGAGCGACGGACGGCCACTGGTGTTGCTCTTTAAGCCCAAGGAGCGGTGTGGGACGGTGGCCCCGAACCCCAGACCTCAAGACACACTTGTTGTTTCTGTTGTTGGCATGTGTGTTTATTCTGTTTAGGTTCTTATTGGCTGTTTTCATTTTTAGTGGAGGGAGCAAAAAACATAGTTTTGGGCTACCATGCAAGGGTTGTGAAGTTGTCCCCGGTCTTTGTTTTGTTCGGAGCTTCCCTTCCTTGTGATTCCCAGAAAAAAGCGGGCTTGCAAATTGAATGAATGGTCGAATTGAATTGTTTTTCACCTGGAATTGGTCGGTCTGCGGAAGTTGGAGCCGATTGAAATGGCCCCCACAGCTAGCACTAAGCATGAACCCCACGAAGCCATACGCACACGTCCATATGCCCGAGGCTTAAGGGTCAATTGACATGCCCCTTGGACATTTTTTGCTTGGAACATCTGGCTGAAGCCTACCTTCCGGTTGGTTTTGGATGGTTTCCCTGATTTGGCCCAGGTGGACCCCCTGTGCTTTGTGCTAGGGAAAGCCAACCATTTTAGGAACTCTTTTGAGAACCCCCCACATCTAGTTCCAAAAGCTTCAGCTGTTATTTCCGGGTCCTTCGACCGCTTCCGCAGGAGCAGCGGCACGTGGAGTTCACCGGGGATCTGCCACTCGACGGGCCCGTCAACCGGGGGTCAACCAGGGTTTCGGGGGTCCCTATCTCAAAAGCCTTTGTAGATATGGCAAAGCACAACTCAAATTGACACGGACAAATGCAAGACAACCAAAGACCGAGAAAGCTACCAGCTGTTGAATCAATTTGATGTGAGTTCCTTTTGGGGCGATGGCAATTGAACTCCGATGGCAATTACCTTCCAGCTGGGACTTGTTGAAGTAATTCTACATTTTCAGGTTCGCCCTGGCCAGAGTCAAAGATAGTAGTTGTTGGGGTTGCGGAAGCTTGTGGTTTGGGCAATTGAATTGGAGCATAAACTTTTGTTGGCCATTGTTGAAGCCGAGCTTTTGACGGGGTGATGCTGAAAAGGGATATGGAACCTCCCCAAAACCCGTCGACCGCTTGGTGCGCGCGCGCCGAGGACCTTGGAGACCTTGAGCCACTTCTCCAAGGTCTTGAGCCTGCCGCTGCTGTCCCAGTACACCCCTGAGAGCCGCCAGAAGATCCAGGACGCATCTCCAAACAGAACCATGGGCCAAATTCAGGCACAACATCGCATGGGTAAACATGTGATAGGTTTTCTTTTGGATGATTTTGAGGCTGTGCTGTTTTTGGTAGGTGGTACAACCTGTGTTTGTTGAGACAAGCTTGGTTTGGTTCAGAACTCTATCGGTACGTGTTTTGAGGCCAAATCACATATTATATACCTTGTTCACCTTGGTTTACCACGAGATCGAACACCAAAGCCATTTCTGGGGTGCCCCACGTTTGTTACATGCCCATTTGCCACCGATGCACAACAGAAACGCAGAAGCGGATGAATGTGGCAAGGCGTGGGCTGTTTCTCCTTTGTGCTATCAGAGGATCTTGTTGTTGCTTTCCTTTTTGAAGACACCCCCCCTCGAAGCTTTGAACGGGTCTGGTGGCATTTGGGCCGAGAGAGAGCGCTTGAAGTCATCGACCTAATCTGGGCTTGGTTGTGTGAAGATTTGTTTCACGGGCATTTTGTCCGTGGGCGATGCCAGATGTTCTCGTTGAACAAAATGGAACCCACGTCCTTTGTTATTTGGTGTTGCTTTGTTTGGATGTTAGTTTATGTAACCGTTTTCTCATAAGACAAGCAAGTTAATTGCCCCCCTACAGATGAACACGGAACTCAAAAACACTATATTTGCAGAGGACTTTGTTTTGGGCGGGGGGGGCCTCTCTTTGGGGCTCCAGGTTAGTTTCATTTGTAGGGGAAGGTTCTTTGCCGCGCTCGCGCTCTTGCCACCGGCCAGGAGCTCAAAGTTCCTGCGGCCATGCTTTGGCTGGACGGAGAGGAGACCGCTGTTAGCGCGGCTGCGCAGGAGGCCTTTTCAGTGCGGAGTTGTTCTTTCGTTTCGATTCGGCGCTCTGTTTTTTTTGTTTTTCTTTTTTTGGCGGGGTGCCTTTTGCGGGGATGGCTTACAGGGAAACCAGAAGGGCAGCCACTTTTTGTTTGTTTTTTGGGGGGATGGCTTTGTTTTGTTCATACTTTCGCGGGATGGCAAAGCGCTGCCATGGCTCGGAATCTGCATCCCGACCCTTTCCCAGAACTCTGAATCCCTGGTTTGGTCGGATCCGACACCACTTCTCGCTTCCGGGGTTCTTGGACTTTATACTTGTTCACCAAGTTCAGACTTTGGTTTGGCCAATCCTCTGTGCGAGGACATTGTTGCCATTATAAGTTTCGCCACACATGGACCAGAATCGCAATGTCTTTCGGTTCAAGGTTGCTTTCTATGGCGCTGGCGGTTGGGCGCGCCGCTTGCAGGTGCAAAGTTACACCCAGAAGCTGAGGTTACTTCTGGAGCTGCCAGTTTCACGGCGAGCTTACCTCGGGGAATTGAAGATAAGATCAGATAAGCATGATGCAGGTGCTTGGGGATCTCAACTTCATTTTTTGTATGTTGTTGCAAGCGGTACGCCAACCTGTAAGAAAAGCATGGCAAACGACGACTGGCAGGTGGTCCGCGAGGTTGCTGCGCGCTTTTCTGGGCACTTGGTGTTCATGTCGCTGAACGCCACCCGCGACGGGCGCCTTGAGCTTTGAGGTTTCACCACGCGGGTGGCAGGAATTTCCCTGAGTGTGTGCGTGCTTGCGTATTTCCAGGTTATGTTGATGTTGTTCGTAGCGAAGCTGAAGCACGTTTGTTGCGTGCGAACTTGCCAGTGGATATTGTTCAGCTGTGCGTGTGCGTGTGTGTGTGTGTGAGCCGGTGTTGGTGTGGATGCCAATAGCCTGTCCTGTCCAAGACCAACATTTCATTTGATTGACTGAATTAATATGCAATTTGCCGATGTTACCTACTGGACAAAAACAAGCACCCAGAGCTTTGGTTTTCCAAAATGGAAGCTACAAAGGGGTGGGGTATTTCCGGATCCTCCTTTGGCACCCAATTCAGCTTTTCTAGGCTGCCCTGAAAAGTTTAAACTTATGAGCGGCAAGAGTATGTAAGAGTTTCAACTATTGCTTGATGCGGTGAACGCTGTAAGTATCGCAATTGGGGGGACTGGGAAATCCGTGTAGCTCACCACAACTTGCATGAACATCGGTGAAGTAAACAACAAGTCCGGACGTGTTCTGACCAATCCACCGAATTATATGTTGTGTTGGTTTTGACGTGGGCGGTTCACTTGACATTCGTATTAGTCCATCATCGCATGCGTGGGAAACTTGGTTTGGCTCTCTAGCTGGGTAACAACCTTGTTACCCAGCGAGTTTGAATGGCTTGCCGACCTCCCAGTCTTCCTTAGACTGGTGGTTGCTTGGTGTTTAGATGGATTTGTGACATGACCCACTTAAAATGTTGGGCTTATTATTCACTGCAAGCCCACCCCGCGCACCCTCAACCGCATGCATGCAGCGTGCATCCTGCCTTCTTGTCTTGGTAGGTGTCCAAGCCGGGACCCTTCTGGAGCGCAAAACTGTCACGAGTTGCCACACAAACCCTGCCTAAACTCCACAAACATCAGTTTTGCCCGCCCCCGCCCCCCAAGCTCAATCCACACTAAACCCATGGTAGAACCCACCTTCAACCCACCCTTGAACCTCCTTTGTTTAATTCACCCTAAACCTATGGTACACCGAAGCCCAACCCTTGCCCCCCTCCCATGCTTAACCCACCCGGAACCCGCCCTAACCCCATGTCAGATCCATCCCAAACCCAACCCCTTTTCCGTCGGCCTGAACGGCCCAAACGCCCCCATATGTGTTCAGTTGGCCGGAAATAGCTGTGACAAACTACATGGAGCAAGAATAAGTGTTTCAATGTGGGGGTCGTTTTTTTCCGTCCAGTCAGGTTCCTCATGCGTAACGCTGCGTAACCCAACCCTAAACCCAGGGTAGATCCACCTTCAACCCATTACCTTAAACCCATGGTACGCCTGAAACCCTAAAGGGGGCCAGGAGTGTGACAAGTGTTCAAATCAAAATTGCGGGTTGCCCCCCTTTGTTTAGGTCACCCAACATGGCACGCCGAAAACCCCACGTGGGGCCTTTGGCCGCGGTTTTTGTTGGGGCGAGGTTCCTCATGCGGCCCTTCGGCCTGGACCCTCGCCGCGTGCCCGCCTTCGGCATCTCCGCCTCGGAGAGCCCGGAGAGCCAGAAGTTCGCGCCGGAGCCCCGGACATTACGCGGACGGAGTGGGAACCCCAGCTCCTTAGTTTTTTTTTTTTTTTTTTAATGGATCTTGTTAAAAGGTGTTTTTTTTTTTTTGGGGGGGTTGTAGGGCGTTTAGTTGTTTTTTACGGGTGTATATGGCTTTTAGTTGGTCTTTTATGGGTGTATAGGGCTTTTAGTTGGTTTTTTTTATGGGTGTATAGGGCTTTTAGTTGGCTTTTTATGGGTGTATGGGGCTGTTGGTTGGTTTAGTATCCCCTTAGGCATTTAGGATTTCAGTTGGTTCAGTATCCTGTTGGGCTTTTTCTGTTTCTAGTTGGATGAGTGGGGGATTTCCATTTGACCCACTAAAACTTTTGAAAGCCCGCAGACCCCCGACTCCCCGATTTCCCCAGCGGCTCCCTCCAAGCCTCGGCTCCGAGCGGACCAAAACCAGTTGAAAAGCCTTCGGAGCCCGAAACGGTTGTGAGGGGTTCGAGACGAAACAAGCTGTCAACAAGAATCAACGCATCACCAAAGAAAGGCCCGTAATTCAAGGCAAACTGAGTTGCCACAGGCAAAAAAACTAAGCTTCGTCACGCCATGACAGTGGAGTTGCCTTGGATTTTCACCCATGGGCCTCCCATTGTAGTTTTTTTCAGTTCACAAGTTCACTGGGGGTAACCGGGATTTGGATTTTGACCCATGGCCTCAGCTGACGTCTTCTGGTCGTTTTCGGGTGGTTTCCCGCGGAGGCTCGAGCCGGTGGACTGGAACGACCACGAAGCGGCGGCGAGTGGCGTGGAGGACTTCTGCGGCGCCTTCCTCAACGGCTCGCTGGAGGCTCGCGGGGACGGGCAGCCGGGTGGCGAAGCCAGCCATCCGGTTCCTTAGCTTTTTGGCTTTTTGGTTTTTTGGCTTTTTGGCTTTTTGGTGCTTGGTGGTAGTTTCCATTCAACCCACGAAAAGTTAAACCTGTAGCAGGGGATCTGGGGGCAGCCCAGAGGACGGGTGGCTGAAAGCTATGGCCTGGAACCTGTTTTTTGGGGGGTTGTGAGCCCGACGTTTTTGGTTGGGTTGTCTTGTACTTAAGCCGGCCTGGCAACTGGCAACTGGAGAAACTTGAGGTTTGGGCGAGTGTTTCAAGTTTGTGGCGAGTTTGGCAAGGCCCTGTGGGTTCAAGTTGGATTCCCAGGGCCCCACCCCCAAGCCTCTGGTACCGTAAGGCTCTTACAGGCATGTGGGTAGCCAAGGTCTTCCTCACTGGAACCATGAAACCAAGCTTTTAGGACTGTCACTGAAGCCATCTTGCAAAACATGATTAGGCAACCAGGACACTGAATGGGGTATGTATCGAAACAAAGGGATCGACCACTGTTGGGTCAATTCGAAAGGGACATCAACGTCACCAAACGACACGAGGCTTCGAACCACAGCGAATCGACTGTTTCACCTGTTGGTTTCCCCACATGTTGGTCACTTGTTTGCTGGTCAGTCGTGTAGTTTACTTGCTAATGTACAAGTCCGTTGTGGTCTGGTCCTTTGGTGTACCCTATAACCAAGTCCGTTGGACGTGCCTTTCGTGTTGTGCCTTTTTTGAGGATACCTTCTCGTTGTGGTTTTAAAGCGAACTGAAATGAAGACATCCATCCTTGGAGGGACCCCCTGGAATAAAATAAGACGCACCCACCGTGTTTAGTCAGACCGTGCCATGGGCAACCGGAGGCCGCCCATGAGTCAGCTGAGCTGCCCAAGACCTATGCCTGGCAAGGGCCCGGCTATGTGGAGGAGGCGAAGTGGTTTCGGTTTTCCCGGCTTTATTCGGAAAGGCTACCTTGAAGAGTTGGCGCTTCCCAGCCATCCGGTTCTTTACCTGTTTTTAGGTTTCTAGTTGGTTTGGTTTTTTTTGTTTTGGCTACCTAGCCCACTAAAAGTTAAAGGTTGAGCAGGAGATTTGAGGAAGGCCAATCACAAAAAAGCAGCACGTGGCTTTTATGACCTGGCCACTTGAGGTTAGGGCCTCGGGGTGTTCAAGCATCACGCCTGTGGGCCAACTCCACGTTGGTAATGTCTAAACGAACCAAAGCCGGTTGATGGGTTGTCTCCAAGTGCAGGATACCCATACCGGGCCGGTTCCCTTTGGTTCCCAACGCAACCTTAAAAGGGTTTGAGGGTGTCACGTCTTGTGTTGGGACTATCCGTGGTCAACCTGGCGGTTAGAGACTGCTTAGCTTCTTCGTGTTTTCCGGGCGATTTTGGACATATTCCGTCACGATGTATTCAGTTCGCGTCAATCCCACGGTTGGTATCCTTTTTTTCTGGGAGCTCACGGCCATATGGCCCTAATTGTGTTTGTCTTATGTTTCGCTTTTTTGCGAGAGAAAGCACTCAGGTCACCCCGAATTGGTGGTTTGGATTGGTGGTTTGGGGAATTCAACCCTTGGCGTTTGTAGATGGTAAATGGGAACCCGAATCCAAACCACCAATTGGGGAAAGCTGAGGCACGTGCACAGGACTTCGAGCCATCTTCAGGCTTTAACCTAGGGTTGGAAGTGGAGCTTGGTGTCAAAATATTGCGCCTCGGTGTCTGGAAACAGATAACCCACCTGGACGCTCAAACTACCAACTTCAACGTGGCTTGCTGCCCTCAAGTTATGGGATGATTTCCCTTTGTAAGGGTAGCTTGAGGGTCCAGGCGCCGAGAAAGTCATCTTTGAGGTCTGTGCTCCTTTGACGAATCCTGTCTTCAGAGTTGCCAAACATAGTTGACGACGAGCCTTGGGGACCTTTACTTGTACAAGCTTCTACCAATCTGTGCGCTGGGCTTTGGGAACAAAACTCCGGTGTTTGCCGCGAATTCGAAGGGGATGCCCTTTTTCGATTTGCCCCGCAAGTCGGACGAATCTTGTCTGCCGTTCCCATGCCATTCACATGAAGCCCAAAGGTGTGGCCTCTTTTAGGCTGCACAACATGTTGGCTTTCTTGTGGTTTCCCTGGAACACCCGGCAAAACGGGGCCTGCAAGAAAGGCAACATGGGAGTACGGCCTGAGCCGTCAGGTGGTTTGGAAGACCTTCCGCCGCTCCATCTCTGGGGGGCTTGAGAGCCACGATGTGCTGCTGGAGCTCTACTCCCCCTACCGGCCCCAGCATCGAACCCATGTGGTGGTGCCTCGATCACATGGCTGTGGGTCAAATCTGCGTTGTCAAAATGGGTTGCCCTGGCAAATGGAGCAAAAGACTAAAACATGCGGTCTTCTGGTGGTTTCATTTTGACCCATACCCACATGTGATCCTCTGGTTTCGTGTTTTCGCATCCTGCGGATGCAACGCATTGAGGTACCTTGCAGCTAGGGATATGTCTTGAAATGCCGTGGTTTGTTCATGAGGCTCGCTATGGACCTGACACGAATCTCACATAATATGATTTGTTGGGTTAAAGGCTGAGGTAGTCTACATATATAAGCATCATGTTTTGGAAGGAGCTGTTACTGTGCTTGTTTTTTTCTCATGGCTTTCAACGCTTCCTTCTATTTCCTTCGTTGAACTTTGTTTTAAAATCATGACCTCGTCACTTGTCCCTTTGCCTTATCCGGAGTTTCACCCGCGGGGTTGGTGATCATGGGCCCAGAAGGTCACCTTGAACTCAACCAGATCCTTGGGTTGCACCGGGCTCCCTAAATGGGTGAACATTTACTGTACTGGGTGGCCCTGTTGGTGGGTATCATTTAGGTGGGGCTTCGTGTCCACCAACCACTTGTGAGGTTCCCTAGTAGAAAGGTAGCTATATGCACCAGATTCCCTCTTCAGTGCCGGAGAATGCGGGAAGGTCCTGTATCAATCTGTTTGAATCGAGTTTTTTTCTGTGGGTGGGGTTCCCTTTTTTGACTCAAGCAACAAAAGGCATAATCTCTATATAGTCCTAGAGGACTCCACTGAGCAAGCAAGTAAGCATGATTCAATCAAACCTCTGTTGAACCACTTAGAATAATTCGGTCACACTGGCAAATAGTTGGGACCAGGATGGGTGCATGGGGTTTCAAGCTTTTTTGCCAGTTGCCTGGGACTTTCAATTAAAGCTACACCTACAGGAGCTTCAACCGCTTCTTTCTTTCTTGCATACGTGGTGAGTAGCTTCCCCACCTCCAAGCAACCTACCTGAACATGCCCTCGAAAAAAAGGCACCCCGCCCCACCCCCCTACCTTTTGCCGGAATTATGCCGAGCTCACCGACCAGGGTAATGACGAGAGAGAGAAAGAGAGAGAGAGAGAGAGAGAGAGGTGATGAAGGTCCTTTTCTTGGGTCTCATTATTGATATCCTCGTCTTTGGTTGTTACTGTCACCTAATTGAAGAATGTCCGTTTTGTTCATTGCATTCAATTGCATAATTTCATCGGGTCCTCTGAAGACGGGTCTGGTTGGTTTCCAGCAAGCGAACCCAGTAGAAAGTCAGGCTTTCCTCAATTTTCGTGGATCCTCCAAAAGTGGTGCTCGTTCAAATGGAAGCCACCAGTAAATTAATCAACTTTTGATGTGGGGAACTCCAGTACTCACTTCCTGAGTTTCTGTTTCATAGTTTTGGGAAGACAATTTTAGTGGTCAATAAACAGTCGGGTTATGTTTTTGGCCAATCCACTCGATCGGAAGTGAGAGTGACCCCTATCGCAGACATCAGCAAGGAGTTGGCCTCAGCATGGTTGTTGTTGGGAAACATGTTGCATTTTTGCTTATTGTGGTTTAGTGGTTGAACTCCAAATCCACTTATCTGTTATAATTAAGTTTTGACGTTTTTAGATTTTTAGTTTTTTGATGTTTGCCCCCCTTAACTGCTAAAATTTAGATTTTTGCTCCCATTCCAACGTCAACCAAGTCAGGTGCTGGACCTTGTGGCGGAGGTGCTGCAAAACCTCACCGCGCTGAAGGCGGCGGACGATCGGACGGGGGGAGGTTTTGGGGTAGACCTTCATTTGCTTAAGAATATGTTTTAATTCCCCAACAGCTGAAAGCAGGGTTGTGGGATCAAGGGGTTTCTCCCCACTTCTGTGATACAAGGGAATCCCCCTTGATATTAACAAGGTAGTCTTTGGGAAGCCCTTTTTTGTGGTATCACAGAAGTGGTCATTCCCCACAGCCCTTGCTGAAAGCTTTGGGGTCTCAGCCCAGCTAGGCTCCGGGGTGGTCTGGGGCGGCCCTGAGGTAAGGTTCCACGAGGGTTCCACTAGGGTTTCACGAGGTTCTGCCGGGTGGTGCGAGGACTAAAACGTGCACCGCATGCTGTTGGAGATGTCACCTGAGCTTGTTTTCCCTTGTTGGTTTTAAAAGGAATTCATCACTACTGGAAGATACTGGAAGTATTTTTATTTTTTCCTGGGGCCTTAACCAAATGGAAGGAGATGGGCGGGGACGGTCTTCAACCAGTTCCTAGGAGACCCCTGTCTTCAGCCGGCAGTTCCTCCGAGGTTTCGCATTATTTTCTGCAAAAGAGTCACCATTTCGGAGGAAAAAACCGGAAGCTCAATGGCACAACTATGTCCCACTGCTCCGTCTAGATCCCGCTGTGTTTGGTGGGTTCCTTGCTAAAAGTGGTCATCCTTAAGAAGATTGCCATACATTTCAGCTGCGCAACGGTGCCACAGGATTTCTCTTTCATGGCTGTGGACATGACGTCAATCAATTGCAAGGTAGGGGCAATTATTCACTTCTACACCTGAAGACACATTTCTGCAAACCATAGCGTTTTGCAGAGGGGAGGGCTATACGTCCGGTGCCTCAAACATGAGGACGTTTGGACGTTGACAGTTTTTAGGAAGCACAGTGGGGACATTACGCATGCACTGAACAAGTGAGTGACCAGGTTAATGATGGTGGCGATTCAATTCAACATGTCTTGAGGTTTGCCTCCTACATGTAGGGAACGTCAAGTACAGTGCATGGCCCTACTCACTGTGCTTTTTGCTGGCAGGTTTCTTTGTCATTGCCGGTCCAAGAGTTTGTCAATGGCTCTCAATGATTAGTTTCCATGGATTGCCCTTTATCATCCGACCGCCCAAAAGGAACACGGAGTCACGCTCGTTGGCCCACAGAGGTGGCGCGCATGGACACTGCCAACAACTATGTGCCACCAGAGTTTGGCCTCAAGGACGGTGGCCAGATTCGCATGCCAGGCGCTTACCCCCCATGCTGGCGGCTTCCCAGCGCAAGTTGTTTGGCCCCTTTGTCCCAAAAGACGGGATTCTGATCGGCTGAGCGGATGGTGCTGAGCGCTTGAGCCCTGGGATCCACATGAAAAAGATATGGAACCTTATTCTGGGTGTCGTTTATCTTTGTGTCAGGGAGGGAGGTCGGACTCCTGGGATCCAATTTCACCAAGAGAACTGGAATCCACGTCTAGGCCAACAATTTTGACAGGACAAAGACCAGTCCTCCAGCATCTTCTTCCTCACCCAGCACCGGGCTCCGAAGCGCTTCGTGCCAAAGGCGGCCAAGTTGGAAGACCTGCCGCTGAAGATGATCCGCTTTCTGCACCGACGCTCGGCCCGTTAAGCGCACGATATGTTTTTCTTTGGACATATCACATATACTTCCATGGACTCTATCACCACTGTTTTTTTGTTTTTTGTTTTCTTCGGCGGGCTTAAGCAAATGGAAGTATACTGCTGTGTCTACATATGTTTGTTGCTTTATTGGTGAGGGTACCCTTCTCAGGTTGGTTTAAATATATAACAGAAAGCCGCAAAGAACATCGACTTGGGCCCCCTATGTTGAGACAGAGAAGTATTTCGTGGCTTTGGCTGTTTGGGGGTGCTTAGGTTTCCCATCTGTACTTGTGTCGGGGGAGGGTATGGAGGATCTTGATTATTTTTCTTCTGGTTCCAAAAAGGTGCCTGCTGTTCCTTCACAGTTCTTGTGCTGGGACCCTGCTGGACCCTGCTTGTTCTTCTACCTCTACTTTATTTGTTGGCTTACGGGCCCGATTCGCAGATTGGTGCCCGGGTGAAGAAAACAGGGCCCTTCTCGGTGTGTGTTAGTAGTTTCGCTGTTTTGAATTTTGAGTTTGTTTATGTTGTGTTGGGTTTGGGTGACATGCTTTGAGTCGGAACATTTTTATGTCATGGGACTGCACCCACACCCCCTGCTGCTTACCCAAATTAGCTCATGTCGTCCCTCAGGCTCTGACTTTCCCGGTGCGGTTGACCTTGGTTTAGATTGCTTTGGGGATAGCGCCTAAACGCTGGGCTCACCGAGGCGAGTCCAGGGGCACTTGGGACTTGGACAAGGGCCTCGCGCTGGCGAAGCAGGACGGAGCTGGGAAGGCAGACATGGGAGAAGGTGTCAGGAACAATGTCAGGTGCTCCTGCCTGCACGTCATACACGAAGAGAAAAAACAAGAAAAGGAAATTGGCAAATAGTACAGTATCCAGTCAGGCTCAACTCAGGAAGTGGGACAATCTTTCTTGGCTTTGCCCAGAGCCGTTGCCAGGTTTAGGGGAACACCAATCGAAATTCTGAGCATAGAATATGTTTTCCTTTTTGTCTGGCCTTGTTGTGTTGTTTTGCGCCAGGAGGCGCAACGGCGCGTGAGACGGCTCAAGGCTTTGGAGAAGGACTACGAGAAGAAGATGCAGGAACCGGGTTCCAAAACAAAAGTGGCCTCAACTGGTCGAATTTTTGTGCCACTGAACGTCCATTTGCTATTAGTATGTGTTTTTTTCCTGGTTGGCTTAAAAAGGAATTGATCACTACTATATTTTTGTCCAGAGGTCTTAACCAAATGGAAGTTAAGTGCGGCAGTTTGGAGATTGTCTGTCCTGGACCTCCGTCAGGTGTTCTTTGTTCATCTGAGCCGGGAATCTCATGAAATATGATTTGTGTTCTTTTCTAGCAGTACCGTCGCCATTGTTTCCGGGAGTGTCTCAGCCCGCCAAACCCAGGGGCTCGAAAGGAATGGCTGAAAATCATGGGAATCATTAAATCATTAGGCCCCCCAGTAAGGTGCCCTTTGACCCTTTTTTGGGGGAGGGTTCCCCTACCAAAATAGACTTCAGAAAAAGTTGGGGCCCTTATTCTAACCTCTCTACTTGGAGGACCTAGGGAAGTTCTCGAAAAGGTGGACCCCCATCCAAAAGGAATCAGTTTCCGTGTCGGGTCCCGTTAGAAAGAGCTTGCGGGGATCAACCCCTGAGGATGAGTGGATGCAGAAGGAGATGGAGGAGTTTGAGCGGTACAAGCGAATGGGCAAGTTCGACAACCTGAACATTTGAGGACTGCGAACCCTCAAGTTCAACTGTTTTCTGGGACTGTGGCAATTTTGAGTTGGAACCCTCCAGTGAACTGGAACTTTTGAAGGGGAAATCATGGGAACCCAGGCTTCATAACTCCCTCGTTGATTCATAGAGAGGCATCCCATTTTTGGATGGGGTTCCGCATCCACTTGGGGACCATAGTGCGACATGTTTGCACCGATAGATGCCAGACTGAGACACCCTTTGTCGCGCCTTGAAGTTGCTTCGGTGGGCCATAGGAAAATATTGTCAGGGTTGAGCACCTTCATTTCCCTTTTGGCCCAACTTCCTCAAATTTGGTTTCCTTCCTGTTTCCCGGAGGGTGAGGCCCGGTTTTGGTCCCTCTTCTATTGTTTGGACCTCAAGGGGCATCAGTACTCAGGGAAATCCAGCACCGGTGACAAATCCAGCAAACTTGTTCGGATCCAAATCTGCTTCTACTTGTTTCTGCTGGGCCAATTTGGCCAATTTGGGCGCCGGCATTCCACCCGGAGAGAAGCTGGGCTCCTCTTTCGGCTTGTGACCACCGGCAGGTGGATTCTGGATGCATCCTTTGAGGAACACTGAAATAAAGGAGCCTCCAAAACGCATCGAGGTTGAAGAGAACACGCCCCTACTCCAATGTCTTTCATGTCTTTCAATGGCAGACTACTCTAAGCTCTCGGCGCGGTGCTCCGAACCCCAATTTGGCATCCTTCTGCTGAAGAACATGCGGGTCTTTTTGTTAGGGGACCCCTTTTGCAAAATGGTAGTTGGCCTGTGGTTTCGCTTCAAAACCATGTTAACAAAAAGATACCCTCAAAAAGAGACGCCCTTGTGACCCTGTTACCTCCAGGCGGTTCGTTGAACATTTCTCGCTTGGTGCACTTTTGGTCTACACTATCGCAGCTCACTTGCGACGTAAAACCAGCTAGAGCCCTATGAAGGTCTCTTGCCCCAAGTCTGGTGGGAGGAATTGTGAGGCATTGTTGTAGGAAAACCGTATTATTTTCAGGTGCTCCGGTCTGTCGGGCCGGCTTTCGGGCCCCTAAGTCAAACTTGTGGTCTTGTGGTCCGGTGGGTTGTGGCTTTGGGTTGGTTTAGGGTTGGGTTCGGGCTGGGTTAGGTCTATACAGAGTCTCTGATAATTAAAGTGATGTGTGCCACTTGGCTGGTGGGGACAGCCATCAACCCCAATACTGTGGGCATTGAATGCCGGGGTAAAGTGCCTACCAACTGGTGCAGGATGCGTCCATCCATGATAGGGTTTGTAGAAAACTGTGCTAGGGATTGTAGGTGTCCTTTCTAGGTCAGTTTGGTTGAACATAGATGGCACAGGTTTCAGTTTGTTTCTACTCATTGTCCAAGCACGCCTATGCACTCCGGCTGCTTTTTGCAAAAACAACACTCACTTCCAAACAGCATCCGTCAGTCATTTTGACCACTTTCGTGATGTTAAACTCCCCAGTTCTGGGGCTTGAGTCATTTGTTGTCGGAAGTTCGGAAACCCACCGGCGACCGCGGACTTTTTGCCCGGCCATGGCCAGGAGTTCGTGGTCGCCTTGGAGGTGTGAGTGTGCGCGCGGAGCAGCCGGCGCGCGGAAAAGGGGAAAAGGCCCTGCGCACATTGCTCCGAGAATTGGGGTTCTCCTAAATCGAGTCCCCTCCGACAAGGGGGCGGGGGCGGTGATGTTCCATGTGAAGTTCAATCTGAGTCAGCGAGTAAGGAGGAGTTCACCAACCTGCGATCAACCAATCTAGAAGCTGTGTTTAACCAAAAAGGATCGCCCCACGGACGTGCCATGGAGACTTAGAGTCTCTAGTGCAGCCAAAAAAATGCAAAACACCATGCCCTAAACCATGACACCCAGAGACTGGGTCAGCAAAAATGCGGCCTCCCCCACCCAATCCACCCGAGTCCCCCGAGTCCCAGGCCCTGCGGGAGTGCGACGGTCTGGAGCGCCAGCTGCGCTTCGCCTGGGCGGAGGCGGCCTCGAGCCCAAGGCAAAGCACCGATCTGGTAGGGAACTTGGTGGAGGTTAGGCCCAACACATGATATGTTTTTTTTCCTTCCGGTCTCCCAAGAATTGAATCTGAAAGAGATGTTCTAGGATGGTGTCGAAGGGAAACCCGAGGAAACCGCCGATGTCTGGTAGGGGCTCTTATTTCATGGCCCAAGCTTGCCATGCATGAACTCACCAGAAGTCCAACCACCAAGGTCCACCAAGACCACCGGGCGCTTATACTTGTCGGAACACCGCAAAGTTTGGACTCTGTGTGGACAACGAACTCGTGATGTGGGTGTGTCTCAAGAAGTTTCCTTGCCCTTGCCCCTGAACAGCTTTTGACGTTATAGGGCAAGCTCAATATGAAGCACAATATGAACATAATGAATTTTGTAGTTTTGTTGGATATGCTTCCCCCCGACTGACGCGCTTCTTTAGGAGCCTCAGCCACTTGAGTGGGTTGAACACAGATAGTCTTGAAGTTGATCGCTTAGCTACAGGCCCGGACTCGCCCCTCTTGTTTGTGCGTGTCAGGGATAGAGATGCAGAGAGAGACTGCCAATGTCCCACGGGGGCAGCAACCAACACAGCAACTTCATGTGTTGTCCATTTCGTTTCGTTGTGCCTTTTGCGCGTTTGATTCATTTTCCCTTCCCAGAAGTTGAGTGTTGGCAGGCTTGGCACGAGTGCTCGGTATGAGACCGAATCTGTCTCCCGCTCAGACGGGCTCCCACGCACACCCCTATTTGTGAATGAGTTAGCCTTTATCAGTTTTTTGCGTAAGTATGGGACACCAGCCCATTTTTGTGGGTTCCGCCCCATTTCGAGACCAGCTCAAAGGTGCCCACAAGTGATTTGACCCATGGGGCAGAGATCCGTTTTTCGAGCTGTCGCAGGCTGCTCGCCGGGAGGAGACGCCAGGTGCGAAGGGAGTGATGAGCGCACCAAATTCTTGCGTTCACTTGAACTGAGCCTGGCTTGCAGTTTCCTGGAAGACAATGTTTCTCTTGAGGGCCTTTCAGAACCCACCGATGAGGGTGGTCTACCACCTGTCTCTGGACTCTCAGGACTTGTTTGGCAGAGTCGGGCCCTTGTGTATGACTATAGGACGTGATTGTATGGTGTGTAAAATGCAAAGGTTGCAGGTCGAGCTGGGCGAGTCTATACGTTTCACATCTCACAGGTCAATTTTTGGTTTGATCACTTCCTGGATGTCAAAGAAGTAGTAAGCAGTGATTGTGGCAACCTTTAGTGGTTGAGCGGGAAATCACGAAGGGTCCATTTCACTATGAGCCGCCGTCTTCCACGCCAGAGCTAGTGAACCGCTTTTTCAACCTTTGAGTGCTTTGCGCATGTGGGCTGGTTGGCTTTGGAAGCTTCGCGCGGGGGTGAGTTCGATCCCATGCCAAAGATGGCGGATTTCAGCCTTTTGCCCATAGGAGAATGCACCAACATAGCTTCCATCTCAAACCATTGGCAATTGGGGTGCTACCACCTAGCATCCGAAGGATCACCCACCCCCGAACATCCCCCGAACAACTGCTTTTTGGACGGCGGGGTTTTGTTTGACCTGGGAAAACTTCAACATAGCGGGGTGGCTATGTTGAATGCTCCTTCTCTTTGGCGTCTTGTGCGCCTTGAGGGCTTGAAGTTGCTTTAGGCAGAGAGCTAAGGATTTCACAAGCCCAAGCCCAGGTAGTACAGGCCCCTGCCTCCTTTCAACATGTCTGCTTTTGCGGGGAACGAAATATGAGGCAGACCCATGCGATATGTATTTTTTTGTTCGGGCCTCCTTCAAACATGGCGTTGGAAAACCCTGAGGTGCCCAAAAACCGAAGACTGGGGTGCAGCTGGCGATGTTTCGCCAATGCCAGACGACGAGCAGGGCAAGCTGGTGGCATGTGTGGACTCGGTGGGCGCGGACGCAGCCTGGAGCCCCTGAGGTTCTAAGGTTCTAAGCCCCCGACTGGGCGCTGCCCGGCCTTGGGATTGGGGTTTGGAGATTCGAGGCTTGTTCCTGGAACCTGAAGCAACTACACAAATGGCGGTTTCCCAAGCCGTTTCCTATGAATGGCCTTCTGGAAAGTGCAGGATTTCGTCCATCCACAGTATGAACCAGAATTCTGAAGATGTTGTTTGGGGTGCCTTGGGGTCAAGCCAAGTAGCGTGCATCCCCCCAGGTCTATTGCCACACACACACCCATTCACGGGGAAACAATACCCCTGTTGTTGGTATGTACCACCTAGCTTTCTTTCGATTTGAAATTTGGAGAATTTGTAAATTAGAGGTACATGCGGAACGTGGCAAGCCCTTGACGGATGTGCGGCTCCCGGTCCGTCTTTTTTCAAAAGAGATGGACGCCCTGAGACCTCACGATTGAGACGACTCCATTGAGGGAGGCACCCGCGGACACCCAAGCCATCTTAGGGCAGCAGTGAATTGCTCGAAGCCTTGACGCCAGTTATGGGTCTTGTGTGTCCTGGTTTGCCCCTGGTGTTGTACCCCAATTGTAAACGCTGCGCGTTGCCCGCCTCGGCCCAGCCAAGCGCGCAGCGTCCGTGGTTCGACTGCACGCAGCAGAGCTGGTCAAGTGGCGATTCAGGCATGCACAGGTTCTGGCGTCGTTGGACCAAATGATGTCATGGGCCCGCAGGAATCGTTGGTGGAGGGCCTGGGCTGGGTGGGCTGGGCTGAGCCTTGCTTGGGTGGTTGCTGGTTGGGGCAAGTCTCAGACACTGGGCTGGGCCGAGGCTAGTCTCAGACGTGAGTCCAGTCTCAGACATGTCACGCTGCTGGTTGGCGCTGTTTGGGGCCTGTGAACTGGGCTGGGTGGGCTGGGCTGGGCCTTGCTTGGGAGGGTTAAGACTTGTTCTGGGTGAGGGGAAATCTGGCGCGAGGCGAAAACGGCTTACGGTTCGCGCCTTTTTCTCAGGACAAAGTGACTTGCAGTCTACGGCTCATTCGGAGGGACATGGTGGACGAGCTCTAAATGACGAGGCCTTGATAGTCAGCCTTAATAAGTGAGGCTGAAGCCCTGTATGGTTGTCATAAACCCGATATTTTGGCAGCTGTCGCAGGCCAGGTTGTAGGTTTGGGTTCCTTCTTCGGGGTTATGTCGGGCTGATGAGTGGTCTCATCCAGAGATGTGCTTTTCTAGGGAAAGTTGACAGGAGCGCGGCTACCAGCCCAAGTCCGTAGCCATGGCCCGAGGTGGAGAGCATGCTCCGTGCCGAGTCTGTGGCCATGCGTACGGCGCGGATCGGATCGGCCCTAGCGACTTCGAGGGTCGTGCCACCATCCCCAGGGGAGAAGTTTTTTTTTGGTCCTTTCTAGCTCTCGGAGGTGTTCGCGAAATTACTTGCAGTTCTCAACATTACTTGGGGTTTCCTTCAAGCCCGGAGGAAGCTCTCTAGTTGCCGCTGCCCAGTAGGGTGAACGTAAAACTGGACCATGGTTCAAATTTGTAGCAGAACTTGCCGGATACTCACACGGGATATAGACAAGCTATGCTCTAAGATGGCTTCTACTCATCTACTGCCCCCGAGCGCTGCCCACAGGATTTTTTTAACGGGATACACAGGGGTATTCGTAGTGGAACGAATATTGTTGCAAGCAAGTACTCCATACTTCCTGAGGTCCTGGGCTAGCACTGTTTGGAAGACCATATTGTAGTGACACAGAACACGTCAACGTTTTCGGGCCAACCTGCTCAGGTAGTGAGACTCCGATCGTGTCCAGGAGCCCTTGAGCTCAACGAAACATGACACGCATGGACTTTGCCATTCGCTTCTCTGAGTCGCATGCGGCGGGTGAAAAATGGGAGGTTTCACAGGTTACTTGTGCCACCAATGAAAGCATGTCTACCATGTGATGCACTCATCCAAAATCTGCTTCAGACTTCACCTGCCCGGATCGATTCTCCAAATCCGCTGGCATTTGGGTGTTGTTTTTCTTGACTGGGGGATTTTGTGTCCACAACACCATGCTTAAGGGGTTGATGAGCATCCTTACCATGAAGTCCTCGTCTGCTTGAAGTTCCTGGTTTCCAATGTGCAAGTTGTAGCAATTCGCCCAGTGGGAAGGGTTGTCCGAATGCCTAGGCACGTAGGGACTGAAGGCATTTTCCAGAAAATGTGCAAAGATCTGCCACAATGACTCATCAACCCCTTTCAGCATATTGGTGTGTGTTCCGAGGGTGTCGTTTTCACCTTGAGTTAAACCAAGCCCAAACCCGCAATTGTTGATGCCCCCCCATGCAACATAAGCCCTCAACAACCCCCCCAGAGTTGACTCTCTTTGATAGAGATAGGCGCACTCCACCTTGCCCGCCAAAAATCGCGGAGGCCGTGCGCTTCTATGCGGCCTCCTTAAAACCGGGGGTTGGGATGGCGCGGGTGGGCGGCGGGGGTGCTGGAAGGACCCCTGTGCAAAGAGTGTTTACTGTAGCTTGTGGGTCCCTTCGAATGGGGCTACCTTCGAAAAGGCAGGACCCCCCATCCCCCTCCAACTTTTCCCAGGGTTCAAAGGTTGTTCCTCAACGCATGCCGCGTTCTTGCACCACTTGAACCCAACTCAGAAGTTGGTGGCTGATGTCATAGCTATAGGCTTTTAGATTGGAACCCCGTTCAGCAACAGTCGATACATGGGGGTTGATCAATATTCCTGACCTGCGAATGACCATGGGTAACG